TGAAAGAAATATATATTTAAACATCTAAAATGTATATTTAAACTGAAAAAAGTTGAAAGACTATATAATATCTTTATATATATATATTCACCTGGAGATACTCGACAGCATCCTTATTCAGTTTCTCCGCATATTCATCTCTCAGCTGTAGAATAATCCACATCAGAGAAATCAGATCTTGTCGATCAGTTGACTCCAGCATCTCAACTCGACGCTTTGTCAAGGAAACCACCTAGTAACATATCTGCATCAGAGAGATCAGATCTTTTCGATCAGTTGACTCCAGCATCTCAACTCGACGCTTTGTCAAGGAAACCAACTAGTAACATATCTACATCAGAGAGATCAGATCTTGTCGATCAGTTGACTCCAGCATCACAACGTCAAAAGTCATTTTCCTGTTTGAAGCACCAAATAAGAAATTTCTAAACAATTGTTTTTTTCATCCCATATTAAATTATTCTGTTAAGGTTGTTAAAATACCTTCTCCCAGGGTTGGGTTTGGACAGTATCCTGCAGTAAGGGTCTGGATATTGAGAGAGGAGGCTCTAAACCCTCGTAAAATCTCATCAGAACAGGTTTTATTCTCTCCTCAATCTGTGTAGTCAATAGATTAAAGTTGGAAATTTTTAGTAAAACTTAAATTATTCTCGCGGCTTTTAAAAGGCATACATTACACAAAGATTCAGACCTCGAGATCCTTAAAACCAGTTTTAGATTGAATTAATATATTGCTTTAACCCTATGAAGGGTGGGGGGGTCTGAATCAATGTAAAGCATGGGGGAGGGGGATCCCACGCCCCCTTCCCATAAAAAAGGTCTTCGAGTAAAGATATAGGGTTCCAATGCACGTTAATAGTTCAATTTTTCAAGGCTAACTTAATAGTAAGGGGCAAAGGTGTTAGGGAGGGTTAAAAAAAGTCAAAAAAAAGGTTGGAAAAGTGTAAAAAATATTTTGTTTTTGTTTTTTAACAAATATTTAAATGTGACACATATTTGAATTCATTTAAAACAAGTGATGGGATATTTTAGATTTTTTATACACTCTGACCGGCCTTTAACAATCATGTACCCTTCCAAATGCATTGAGCAAAAAAATTCTTTTGATTACTTTTCCTAAAAAAAAGGGGGGGGGGAGGGCGTTTGAGGCCTGTTCAGGGTTATTTAAAGTTAAAGAATTATGAAAATGCGACTGAAATCATATAATTTATCGAAGAAAATTACTATTTTTTCACCTTTTTCTCCTTGACGATCAACTCCTTCTCAAAATGCTCTGCGTTATTCAACTCCTCTGTCATCTGGCGTATCTAGAGAACACACAGAGCTACCCAAAAAGGATGAAATTTTAAGGACGACCTATGACTCTATAAAGTATAACATTGTGAATTTTCAAGGAATAAAGTCTTTATCACAAACTCTGATTTTCTAATCCCTATATCTTTGCAACCCAATGTCGCAGACCTTAGATATTTCAAACTATAAATTCTGCAGGATCACATAATCTAAGTTTGATTGAAAGGTTTATACAATCAGATTGTAAAGTTAAAGGTATTGGAAAACTTATGTATGTGGTAAAGGCTCAATTCCTGAAATGTTTAGTTTTTTCTTGATGTATTTGATGATTTTGAATTTGAAAGTCGGACAAATTTCAAGTTGCCAAATACAATTGGAATCTTCAGAATATTTAAAAATTAATGAATTCAGTACAGTCATCCTTTGCTGGTAGCCCTGCATTATGGATATCACAAAAATTATTGTACAAATACATACACAATGCAATCTTAGCACTTGAAATTTACTTAATTACGCATCTTCATTAGATCTTTAAACGCACTAAAATACTAACACAGATTAAAGTGTATACAAACACAAGCAAAGATTCTATAATCTTTATCTATATATAATAATGAAGTAGTTATCTCTGTTCAGATGTACGATCATAACTCAGGAACCCTTTAACCGATTTGCCTAAATATTTTATTGGGGATCCTCGTTCAACGTTAGAACCACGGGAATGTTCTAAGCGTGGTTAAAACATTCTAAGTTGATTGGTCGGGGTGACTTTAATTTCCGGACAAAGCTGTTTTCCCAAGCTAATAGAAAAAGTTAAAAGTTATACCCTTTTAACAGATACAGACGTAAATAAGGTAGTTTTAATTCATAGAATAAATCTATTTCATCTTAATAAGGGGCGTAATCAGGAATTTGTCCAGGTGGGACTAACATTCATTTTCCAGAAGGGGGGGCTCAGCACCCAGTGGTGCCCTAAAACCCATAGATTTTACTGACTGAGGGACCGGGGAGCTTAGCCCCAATAACCCCCCCTGAATGCGCCTCTGATCTTAATTGAAGTATTTTCAATTCGCACATATTTAAAACTCTAATGACATGCACCTACAATTGACCAAATACAACACTGTTTCTCTCTCTCACCTTTTTCCTATGGTAGTCTAAATCCAGCTTAGCTTTCTTTACTTCTGGACTTGTGTTTAGTTCCTCCTTCCATTCCATCTTAAAGGTTTTATTTTGTTTCTCGGCTTCCAGAGAAGAATGTTACTACTTTTCAATGCAGAGCAATATAAACTATACGCGAGTTTCTTTGAGCAAAAGAAAGGAAAAATCGGTCCTCTTTTAACAAAATTGCGCTTGGCCAAATCCCCGGTCGCCACCATGAGCCACAGACTACTCAGACTGCTTATCTCCTTTCACAGGGTGGGCTTAGTAGGCCTAAGTTGACACGACATTCTACGTTTTTACGATAGATTTTTAGAGTGCAATCTCACGGCCACTTGTTGAACATAATACCCATTCAGGGGTTTAGTTTTACAACTTTTAAAGAAATAATCCAATTTTAAACATGAAACATAACATTTATGAATCCAGTCTTTTTTGATGAAATTGTGTTTCGTATCCAAAGTATCCTTAAATATCCCTAAATACAAATGTTTGCTGATTGGTCTTGTACAGTACAATTGTACACAATAGAACATGCTGTGAAAAAATATCGCATATTTTAGCTGATAATCGATCTCTGTAACTCTCTTATCTCTGGACACAGCCTTCCAGATGTTCAATTCAGTACGCGCCTCTGCCATACAGCACAGCTTTTTGAAAATCTTAGTTTTATGTGTAATGAAGACTTTTTATCTTTTTTTTACATTAATAGTGAATGCGCAAGAATTTTACAAAATATTTTACAAGTTATTTATTAATACTAGAAATTCAAGGCGCTTCGCGCCCTTCTTCTAAATTAATTGTGAACATGTTCTCTTTGTGTACATCGTAAAACAAAACAAAAATAATTCGCAGATTTTCACAAAAATTTCGCGGATTTACAAAATTTTAAAAAATTTAATGACGATCGAATTTTGACGGAGACAAATATTTGAAATTTTGATCATTCATAAACCTTCCCTGGGGTCCCTAGATGTCCCACAAAAAATTTGGGCCCGATCTGTTCAGCCGTTTTGACGTTTATTGGATACAAACAGACAGACAAACAGACAGACAAGCCAAATTTATATATAGATTTTAAACCACTTTATTTATAAACAAATCTTTTATTTAAACTTTAAACACACGTTAAAAAATTCTGTAACACGAAGGCCCATTTTGATGTATTGCGCCCGGCTCATTATTGTATATCGGAGGCTCATAATTGTATATCGGAGGCTCATAACTACCGGGGGTTCCCACTTTTAATTGTACGATTATTCTTTAGATTTCCCCAAATTTTCAAGCAATGTGTATTGTGTTCCTTTTTAAAAAACTCATTATATTTGGTATTATTTGATCTCTAGAATTCGAGGAGAGAAGTTCTATGAGATCTTTAGGACAGTGACACATCCAGAATAAACTTACAAATCATTGTGTGTTCAATAAAGATTTAATATCTATTGTAAATTCGGAAATTAAGCCACCGAGAACATGTTTCCTGTAGCTCCTTCAAAAAGGCCGAAAAGTTTCCATCAGTTATCATTTTCACAAAAATTTAGAAGTAACCTGAAAAAATATAGAAGAAAATAAAAGAACACATTGAAACAAAAAAATCTTAAAATATAACTGAACGTGTAAGCAACGTCGATAAAGGAATTGAGTCTTTTCCTCAAACTAAAATTTTCTTATCTTAGGAATTAGATGATGTAAATTTTTAATACTTCAAACTTAGATTATTTTATCATAACAAAATGCATTGTTTGAAATATTTAAGGGTTATACCATTGGATCGCAAAAGATATAGAGATAAAAAAATCAGAGAATGTGGCGCGCGAAGGCTCAATTCCTTACAAATTTCCTGTTATCTTTATGGCATTGTTTAAAAACAAAAATTTGTAATTATCACAAAATAAATTACAATGCAAAAAACTGGTAATTTTTAAAATATATGATCATTAATGAGCCTGTTAAGCAAAAAAATAAACATAATTTCTCACATGCAATTACAATAATTATCAAGCAATTATTACTTTAACTCGAGTGTAGAAAGTGAACAGGATGGAATAAAGTATTTACAACAAATAACCCTGTGTACAGAAGGAATACATTGAACAGCTGGAAGATATTGTATGCAAGATGGGTGAATAATCGGGTTCAAGCTCATCAGTTTAAAAAGGAAAAGAAATCCAGATTTCTTCTTCTCAAACCCAATCAAAGCGGGTTCACCGTACTGGAGGATATCCCCGTTCAGTCTCCAGAGATGCAGCGAGACCTCGGTCAAGTTTTTGATCGAGCATTGAATTTTGAACAACGCGTCCTTCTGGATAAACCTGAACCTCTGGGGCAGCTTGTTAATCTTCTCCACTGAGTTGCTTTCCTAGGGATAGGGTTGATCATCGCTTTGTTTTGTTTTTTACATATTTTTTCTTTCAGGGTCAAAGTGTAACAAAGAGTAAAAAATTTGACACTTTTTGAAATTGTCTATTCTAAACATTTGCTTTTCTCGATGGTGTATCTTTCGATCTACGGAAATCCGCTCTATTGCACTTCTGACCTACGCCAAATCTGCTATGCTACACATCCGACCTACTAGCACGTGTTTTTACAGCTGCTTTATGGACTTATTTTCGCAGCGCCCGGCCCCCTAGCCTGTCCTAGCCGCAGCGCTCGGCCCAGAAATTGTCTTAACCTAACCAAACCCTCAAATAATACAAAAAAAAACAGCTGGCGTAGGTCCGATATTGCAGTAGGACGAAAAGTTAGTAGGTCAGAAGTTCAGTAGGGGGGATGTTACGTATAGACGATGTAACATTACCCTTTTCTCATTTCATGCCTAATTTTAACCCTGAGAGAAACTATATTCAAACAAAGCAAAAACGAATATGTGTTAAAATGATGTTTTTTGGTTCGTTTTCTTCATTTTTGATTTGGTTGAGAATATAAAAATAAAAACAAATAGTGCAGTACACCCATAGATTAATTAAAATAACAGATAGGACACTAGATGTCTGTCTTGTAATTCTACGCCGACTGCGCGAAATTCCGCTGGGCTTCTGCCTCAGGATTTTTGTGAACGAGTTTCATCCAAATCTTGTTATTCTGATTTATCGATGGTTAAGTATAGTTTTTTTTTACAGAAAACAGTTTTGAAATGTTGTAAGTTCTATTAAAGGTTTAAAACGATCCAAAACAATTAACAGCACTACCTGGGGGCACAGAGTACAAAGAATAGAATTCAGGATTTGAGGACTGGGAAAACAGAGCGCTATCTTTTCTTCACGACGATCAGTAAATACTGAAACCTGAGACAGATGTATGTATAATGTTTATTTTAAAGGTTATCTCCAGGGGAGTCATCAGGAATTTGTCCACAAGTGCGGAGGCTTCGATTTTTTTCAATAGGGAGGAGGGTTAGGCATCCGTTGGGTTTAATAAGTCCTGAAAACCATAGATTTCACTGACCCAGGGGAGGGGGTCTGAATTCCCATAAACCCCTAGAATCTCCTCTGGGAGGGCACAGCAAACAAGAAAGATGGAAAAGGAAAAACTTACTTGACATTACTGCTACTAATTTTACCCACGCAGCTCCTTTAACTTTTTAAAAATAAATTTTATGAGCGCCAAAATTTTTTTGTGCACCCTCCTAAAAAACAGTATTAAGAAAAAAAAAGTTTAAAATCTATATTAATCTACCTGAAGGCTGACTATATTAGTCATCTGACCATAATCACCAACCATTTTAAATGAAACCCCCGAAAAAAATATTTAAATAAGATTAAGGTACAAGAAAGAATTTGAGAAATAATCATAAAATGGACAAATTGTGACATTGTCGATTGATAAGAAAGTAAAAAATCTGAATATTTATGAAAGTTTACTGTTTAATAAATTTGAGTCTGCCTTTGGCTCCAGGGGGGCCATAGGGCCGGGTACAGGCCTGAATTTATCCGGTATCATATTTAAAATTCAAAACTTTTCAATCTTGGGTGCAATTCACTCAAGTTTGAGATGAAAAATTGGAATTCCAAAAGACAAATTTTCGACTCTGTTGATCCTTTTATCCAAAACTTAAATATTTTACTCCAATTCGAAGAAAAAAACCCAATTTTTTATTTAATGTACATACTAAGTAACAAAGAAAGGGTAAAATGTTCAAAAAAGTATAAAACCCTGACCTGAGGACATCTGCGAATTAGTTCACACATGTTTGATGAAAAAGTAACATGCTTGGGCAAATTATTTTCGTTCTTAAATATCATACTGCACAAGTTCTTCTCTGTCAGGATGGAGAACTTTTCAGATCCGGTAATAGAACCTATTCCTGCCTCATGGGAGATAAACAGGAAACCTTCTTGTTCGTTTCGGTTCAAACCAGTTAGAGCAGTTTGGACTGCCAGGCCAGTATTAGGCACTGATTGATCGAGATCAGTGCGCAAGGATTGGGAAAAAACTTCTTTCTCTCCGGGATGCATAAAGCTGGCGGAGATGGGATGGAGCTGAATATTACCCTTTATACTAACTCTCGGATGTGGGATGTTCATATCCATCAACTTCGGCAGACGAGATTCAGTTCGTTCTACAGTTCCGGCGATGATATTTCAAGAAATAGTTTTTGTTTCTACAAATCTACTGAACCCATGGCTTGCCACAAACTCTAATTTTCTGATCACTTCATCTTTGAAACCTGATGTTGATATTTCAAACTATGAATTCTGGTAGAATATAGAAAAAAGTCGTAATTTAAAACATCAAAAGTGTACATCATCAGGTTCCAAAGATTTAGATGGAACTTTAAAAACAATAAGCAGTGAACATCTTTCTTTCTCTAACGTAATTTTTTAAACGTATTTTTGAATGATTTTGTTAAAGAAGAGTTACATTGACGATTGAACAGATTCTTATAATTCTCTAATTGTTCACTTAATTAAAAAATAATCCTATTATCCCCCCCCCCGCCCTTTTTTGGGTTTAGAAAAATCAGTCAAGGGTTAATATACAAACGATAATGCAGCCCAGAAAGATCAAAATCAGTAAGGATATTTTAGTTAATTTTACATCATAATCTCAAAACAATTGAGCGCGAAGAACAAATGATCTCTTGGGAAAATAGATATATCAAAAAGGATAAAAAAATTGGAGGACATACTGTCCCACATCGATATGGGTCGTAAAGATTTGAATTGTGATATTTTAGACGTAATTAACTTAAAATATTTGATTATCGAATACAAATCCCTTGATTGTTTATTTCATAAATTCTCACCCCTGACAATTCCATGGTTTTCTCGTATATCGCAGTACCATGATCCATAGATTCAGTAACAGGTGTTGATGAAGAAGCCACAAGCGTCACAGGAGAATTTAAAGACACTGCTGAAGATTGTGAACCTGGCAAATCGGCCTTAGGAGTTTTCGGCCAAGGAGTACTAGAAATAATCTCGATGCTTTCAAAACTAATTCTGGGGCCCAAGTTTCTGAATTTGATCATAAAATCAAATGCTGTTTTGATTTCTTGAAAACTGATACAACTTCGTTCCCCGCTTTTGTAAACAATCCTTCCATGATCCTGGAGAAATGAGGTTATCGTGCTCAAACTCCTGTTTGTAAAGCAACTAATGATGAAGCCTTTGTGTGGTTTAATAAATCTAAAAGTTTGCGGTAAGTTTCTGATCTTGTCCACGGTGTTACTGTAATGCGAGCATTTCATCAAAAGAACTGTCTTCAGAACTTCAGCATTTGGGAATTGAAGAAGTATTCCGTTATGATTAGAACTTACCGAGATATCCGGACATGCATCTATCATCTGGCGTAAGTTTACAGAAAACCTGCATTTCTGCGTCTGAATACTTGAACCTTTGACTGGGGTGTTTTCAAAAACCATACTACATAGATCCCTCTCTGTTAAAACAGCTTTGTTATCCTTAATATCGTCATTTCCAATGGTAGAAAGTTGGACTCCAGCAAGTTGCTCAGCAATCGTGTTGTTCATTCGAGCCATTTTTTAAAATCTCTAAATATGTTTGTTTCACAAGTTTAGAAAAATATAACTCCCGAGTTTATTTCACATTGGAATTCAAAACTAAATTTGAGATACCAAGGAGCAAATCCAGTTTTAACTTTTATGTAACTTTCAATAACAGTAAAATTAGTTTTAAGAGGGGGGGGGGGGGAGAGAGCGATATATGTATATATATATATGGTTACCCACAGTGCTTAAGATCTGGAAGATTTTGGCTTCCTGGATCCGGATCCGCAAAAATATGCGGATCCACGGATCCGGATCCAAGAGGTAAAATATCAACCAAAAACTAAAAAAATAAACTTTTTTACTCATAAAACCTAAATCTGAACTTTAAAAAAAGAGAGATTATAAGAATTTCCTCATTTCTGAATGGTTCATCAAGTTTTAGGATAAAAATAGCGAAAAAAATAAAACAAAAAATTTGAAAATTATTTTTTGTTAAAGAAGTTCAGTAAATCTTAAAGAAATGACCTGGATCCGGATCCGCATCAAAATTAAATGGATCCTGAGCACTGGTTACCCACAAAGGATGAGACTGTAAAGACGACCGGAAACTCTTAAAATGAGACGATCCCAAGGTTGAATTGTGTATTCTGCCTTAAATAAAGTTATCTAATGGCTTATTTATTGATTTGATAGACATCACACAAGTTTACAGTTGCGATGAATCGTGAATATATGGAAATAAACAGTACGAATTAAGTACAATCGTCTTTAAAGTCTCGTCCATTGTGGGTAACCCTGGACATCTGTTATTATAATGACTCCATGATAGTATGACACCGTGCAATACTGGGTTATGATGAACAACTAAGCAGACCAAAGATCGTTATCAGGAATTTAGTTTTAATGAAAAAAAATCTTTTTTTAAATCTAAATATTTATTTTGTAGCAGAGATTAAAATATTACATTTGTATTGCAAGTTTACAACTTTCATAAATGGAAAAACTACATTTACTGCACTTCCTTCAGAGGGGACCGCACTTCCTTCAAGGGAGACTGCACTTCTTGCTGGGGTAGTATCACTTCCTTCAGAGTTGACATCACACCTCTGTTTCTTCTCCTTCTCCGGTTGACGGGTCGAGAAACTATAGAAAATGAGAAAAATTCTTCTCCATCTTTAGTCCACAGGTTAAGCTTGATATCCAGTCCTAGATCCACTCCTTCCCTATACAACTCCAAGAGTTTATGTGTAATTCTCATTGTTTGTGTTTTAAACTCCCCGCCATAGCAACAGCTAGCTGGGTCAGCTGGTAATCAGGCTAGGAGAGAGAGAGTCACAGAGATGTGTTGTTGCTAGCAGGGTTAGGGGGAGACTGGAAGGGTTAGGGGGAGACTGGAGGGTTAGGGGGAGACTTATGGAGTCTAAATAATTAAATAAATTGCATCATTAAACATTAAACACCACCTAGTTTAATCAAACCTGAAGTAAGTGTTTTAATTCTCGAGATTTAATTCAAAAACAAACATAACGATTCCTGAAGCCAATAGTCTATTTCTTCAAGAAATCTTTCTGAAATAAACACATAAATATAAATTAACACTCGAAGCTTTCACATTGTAAGCCTTTTAACGACAAATATAAAAAATACAAATAAAATTCAGGATAATTCAAATAATAAATATGAGAATGGAACATAAAACAGATTTCACAGAATCATAAAAATTCTTGAGATTTTCTTGAAACACATTTCCAAAGGATTTGCCAAATTGAGTAATAATAGGAAAATTTCCTTTAGTTCTTAACGAGGAATGGTTAAAGTATCTTAAAAATAACATATTTTGATTTAGTTGAATTTTTAAACGTATCGTAATAAACAAATGTAAATGGGCATGCTTTCACAAAATGGCGTATATACATACAATTTACCATGGAGGAGATAGTAAGTTTCAGATTACAATTTCAATATTTAGTATAATGGAGATATTTGTTTAAACAAATATTGATTAAGTACAAACATTTGGAAAAAACAGAGGGGTTGAAGATAAAAAAACCAAGAGGTCTCATTAGTAACAGAATGTTCTAAAATACAATTTCGACAATTAAAATTATTATTCAACACTTCCTAAACTTTGGGAGTGAAGAAAAAGATTCTAAAAATTATATTTTTGCTGAAATAGTGTTTTTTTCTTCTAGTGATGAATATCTTCCTCCTTTTCCCTCAATACCAGCCATACCTTCCACTACTTAGGAATTCTGCAAGAAAATAAAAAAATGGAAGCGAGCCTACATTTAATTAAAAATAATGCGTATTCAAAATAAAAGGTAAGCAAAGAAATAGGAAATGGTAAACAAGTCGTTTTTCATTGATTACTTAAACTGCCAGTGTTGAAAGTTGTTTTATATTCTCATGATTAGATTGGTATTATTTGTTTTGTAATTACCTCGGTAATTGATGTACAATGTACAGTATATTTGCTTCTCATGTACAGTATGCTTCTTAGAGCCTCTCTCTTGGTTTTATACTGTATCAAAATCTAAGTGAAAGTAAATTTTACATTTTAAAACCTTTGGATGAGAAAAAATGATCGAGTTATCCTTATTTTTCTATCGGAAAATTAATAGTTCTCAATATTTATGCTACAGGCACAATTAAGGAAGTTATATAAATAATAATATCATCATTGCTTTTATTATTCATCAAAAAAATCATTATTTGAAATTTAAATCGTCTCGACAGTAAGTAAGTAACTTTTAGAGAATCTACAATGGAAAAGAATCAATCTTTAGCTAAAAAAAATAGCGATAACTCATTCATCATCCTTAATAAGACCAAGGTTAAAAGGGTAAGCTACTCTATAAATGGAGGTCACATGAAGTTCCTTTAACGATTGCCTTCTTGGCAAACGTATTTAATTGTTTACTTAACTGTTTTTGGTTCTGTTGACATTGCACTTTTCTTGAAGCTTGCCAGCTCTCCTTCCATTTTTGCATCACCAAGAACCTGAACCATGTATTAGTTGCAGATATCTTGTTGAACATGATACAATAAAACCCTCCATTTCTTAACAAGTTCAGGGATAAATAGTGAACCATGTATTAGTTGCGGATATCTTGTTGAACATGATAAAATAAAACTCTCCATTTCTTAACAAGTTCAGGGATTAATAGTAAACCATGTATTTGTTGCGGATATCTTGTTGAACATGATAAAATAAAACTCTCCATTTCTTAACAAGTTCAGGGATTAATAGTAACAATCCTATTGAATTCAAAACCTGTATCGTGGAGTAGGATTCAAGATCTATCTCTAGTGTATAGAGACCCATCTCATCCTCCCTCAGCTCCTAATTAAGATAAAAATTTATCCTAACAAAACATAAAAATGAAAAGAAACTGATCTCTCGTCACAAACTCTTAATATTTCTATTCCTTATATTTTTGTTACCTAATAGTGTAACCCTTTGATATCTAAAACTTCGACTACTTGAACCAACAGAATTCATTCGGTTGCAAAAATATAGGGATTATAGTTACTTTGTTTACATATCTTCTTCTCACCGCACACAGAAATATCTGAACCTCTGATATTAAAATAGTGCTTACAAAGACTTTACTTTTGGTGACACTATATTTGTAAAAACTATTGACCGATTCACAATGGTATAAAGGGTACAATTATCTACATGAAAAGATGTTAAAGATTTTTTTTCTTCAGCAATTATTAAATCCGTATTCCTGAAGAATTGCATTGTAGATTTCCACGACAGAGGGAATAAATTAATTACCAGAATAAATTGAGTATTCAGACATACAGCTCAGCGTAAAATGAATTAATGAGTTACCGGAAATACAGCTAGCTTAGTGTAACATGAATTAATGAACTACCGGATATACAACTCAACGTAACATGAATTAATGAGTTACCTGATATACAGCTCAGCGTAACATGAATTAATGAGTTACCGGAAATACAGCTCAGCGTAACATGAATTAATGAGTTACCGGAAATACAACTCAACGAAACATGAATTAATAATTACCGGACATTCAGCTCAACGTAAGATGCTTTAATAAATTACCGGACATAACATGAATTAATGAGTTACCGGAAAAACAGATCAAAGTAACATGAATTAATGAGTTACCGGAACGGCGGAAATACAGCTCAAAGTAACATGAACTATTGAGTTACTGGAAATACAGCTCAACGAAACATGAATTAATTATTGCCGGACATTCAGCTCAGCGTAACATGAATTAATAAGTTACCGGAAATACAGCTCAGCGTAGCATGAATTAATGAGTTATCGGAAATACAGCTCAGCGTAACATGAGTTAATGAGTTACCGGACATACAGCTCAGCGTAACATGAATTAATGAGTTACCGGAAATACAGCTCAGCGTAACATGAATTAATGAGTTACCGGAAATACAACTCAACGAAACATGAATTAATAATTACCAGACATTCATCTCAACGTAAGATGCTTTAATAAATTACCGGACATAACATGAATTAATGAGTTACCGGAAATACAGATAAAAGTAACATGAATTAATGAGTTACCGGAAAAACAGCTCAGCGTAACATAAATTAATGAGTTACCGGAAATACAACTCAAAGTAACATAAATTATCGAGTTACCGGATATACAACTCAAAGTAACATAAATTATCGAGTTACCGGATATACAACTCAACGAAACATGAATTAATAATTACCGGACATTCAGCTCAACGTAACATGCTTTAATAAATTACCGGATATAACATGAATTAATGAGTTACCGGATATATAGAGCTAAGTGGTTGAACATCAACATCCTCATACTTAACAGATTTTAATCAAATTTTTACTCAACATAGATTTTAATCAAACTTTTACATAACAGAAACTTTAATAAAATTTTAACTTAACAAAGACTTTAATAAAATTTTCAGGGTGGATGGTGGAGATAGAAAAACCATGATTTTTGTAAGGAAAATATATACTCCTTCAAATTTTTTAACTCATTTCTCCAGCAAAAATAGGATTAAGTTCTCTGTTCCTGACTGTCCCTTAGCAGGGCATACAATGCCTGGAAGAGAAGTGAAGGATCATCAAACAGGAGAATCCAACCCTTAAAATGTTTAGTTAGGTGTCAACATTCTCATCAGATCAGATCAGATCAGATCAGATCAGATCAGATCAGATCAGATCAGATCAGATCAGATCAGATCAGATCAGATCAGATCAGATCAGATCAGATCAGATCAGATCAGATCAGATCAGATCAGATCAGATCAGATCAGANAAATCAAATCAAATCAAATCAAATCAGGTCAGGTCAGGTCAGGTCAGGTCAGGTCAGGTCAGGTCAGATCAAATCAAATCAAATCAAATCAAATCAAATCAAATCAAATCAATTAAATCTGGTTAATTTTTTAAAATAAGGGAAAGCTAAGAACATGTAAGTTGTTGACAGAATCATGTTTAATGTTAAGCAGTCCAGACCTCTTTTATGCCTTTTCCTTTTAATTAATAAAAAAAATTACAAAAAAATACGCAAAAAAAGGATAATTTACAAAAATTTACAAAATTACGATTATTTGATTTAATAAACGGAAAGTATTTTAACCTTGTCAAAGATTATCTTTTCATCCTTGTAAATCCTGGATCCCGGGAAATCCCTAGAACAGTGTAATTTCAACAACTATAAAGACAATATTTACCCTAAAAAAATGTGTTAGTATTTACACTTTACATTTGGGTAAAAATAGTTACATGGTTGTCTGTACTCTCTGTACCCTTTTACATTATGTACATTGTACATTGTACATCGTTTCTCAAATTGTGACTGAACTAATGTTTCATGCGATAACCAGAAAACTCTGAAATAGGAAGACGATGTTTAAACTCAATTTATGATTTTAAATAGTGCAATGAGCATTAAACTCCACAATTGTGCAGTGTAAAAAGGCCCAATTCACTTAATATGTGACTTAAAAAGTTACTAGTAAAACTTTTTGCTTTTAACCACATCAAATACGATCCAATGAAGACCCACCTAGTTTATAAGCTATACGAAAACATTTGAAACCTTTATGCCTGAACCTATATTTCTGCTTACCAAGTGCTTAGGATCCATTTCATTTTGATGCGGATCCGAATCCTGGATCCGCACTGGAAAAAATTGGATCCGGATCCAGGTCACAAACATTTCTTTAAGATTTACTGATTTTTTGACAGAAGACATTTTTTATTTTATATTCTTTTTCTCAGGTTTCTCAGGTTCAGGTTTGGATTTTAAGAGAATGAGAATTTTTTTTCGCAGTTATTTGTAGATATTTTTACCCTTGGATCCGGATCCAGGAAGCCAAAAAGTTGCGGATATACCGGATCCTAAGCCCTGCCTAAAACTATTTGTTCTTATACCTGCTTATATCTTCCTTCTTGTTAGTGGACCTGAAGAGAATCATTAGCTCAGTATCATCATCTACAATGTAGATAGATTCTACATATAAAATCAAATCAAAATTATAAATCTGTGACTAGGATAAAATAATTTAATCTAATTTCTTTGACTTTTGTAAAAATAAGTTAAATTTGATACAAATCAACGTTTAACGATGTAAAAACGGTCTTCACAGTTTCTCCATTTAAAGCTGTAGCAGCATTCAGCAGAGTTTCTTAAACAAAATTTACCCGGTCAGTTTACTTACTTTTACAAACAGAGTAAACAATATTACTCTGACAAAAGACTGAAAAAAAAAGTTTTCGAATTTTATTAAGCCTTTAAACACCCGAACCCCCGGCCACTCACGAGTGTCCACAAAAAAATTTAGCCCAATCGGTCCAGCTGTTTGGCCGGCTATAGGCAACATATATATATATATACACGAATGTCTTGTTTTATAATGCTTATATAATATATACAGATAATAAAAACGAATTTTGAAAAGTTAATAAACTTCTTCCTCTAAATTGGCAAATAATATTCTAGTATATTAAGGGTTCAATTTGCTTTCAACAAAAAAAATTTATTTTATATTCTTAAAATTGCCTTTTACATAAATATAAGATGTGAACACCTGCAATTTTCAACAGTCCATATTTATTGTTTACCTTCTTCTTGTTCCTGGGGGTAGCATACATGTTCAATCCGCAGAGCTTGAATGGGATATTTATCCTTGAGCTGCTTTACAGCACTACTAGCATCACCCCGACTTGTATACCAGACCCGGAGAAACCCATTCCTAGTCATGCTTATCCTGGTAACAGGGCCAAACTTAGGGAATAGACTGAGGTCGATATCTTGCTGGTTTTTGTCTCTGATATCAATTTCTACAGGATACAGAAAGCAGACGGAGTTGGGATGAAAAAGGAAATCTGATTTTATCTCCACACACTCGTTGTGTACACTAACTAGTCTCAGTTCATCTTTTTCTTCAGTGCTGGATTCCCCAGTATCTTCGGGATGAATTTGGTGCAGTTCAGCAGGTTCATCAACTTGTGCAGAGGGTTCACTGCTATCCATACCAATAGTTTCAATGGTAGCCTGAGCTGGCTTGGCATGAGGTTCAGTGGTATCAGAACCTAGGATGCTTCCAATCGGAACAGTAGCTTGTGAAGTAAATTCAGTTGTATCTGAAGCATTGCCATGATTTGTATGGGAATGTGGAGAACTTAAATTTGGGACCACCAGGGTTTTATTGTAACTGGAAATGGGTTTACTAGGTTTGGAATCACATACTAGTTCTTTGATACAAGACAGATTAATTTTAGGGTTCCAGTGGGAGAATCGTTGAAGAAAGATAAATGCTGAACTAATTTCAGTAAACCCGATCATACGAGGTTCACATTTGTCGTCAAAGACAAACATTCCTCCATTTTTCTGGAGATAAGAGGATATTTCGTCAAGTCTATTTGTTGTATAGATCATGACCTGGAAAAATTGACAACGCTTGATGAACATAAATCTTTGAGGCAAGTTTCTGATCTGGTTTAAAGAAGTACTGCCATTGATACATTCTTTGTTGAGAACACGTTTTAGAGTGTCTAAACTTGGAAACTGAAATACAATTCCATCCTCATTGTTAGCAATCCAGATCGGATACAGCTTTATTAGCCTTGTGATATTTAAATTAAGAGCTCTCACCTCACCCGTGAAATTTTTACTTTTTCTGAAAATCATGCTGCACAAATCCTTTTCAGTCAAGATAGCAGGCTCATTCTTCACAAATGGCCTCGGCACTCCAGGAGGTTTCTCCGCGACCTCTCGAACTCTACGAGGTTTCTCAGGGACTTTTCGAGCCCCAGGAGGTTTCTCCACGACCTCCTGGACTTTAGGAGGTTTCTCCGTGACCTCTCGGACTCCAGGAGGTTCCTCCGCGACCTCTCGAACTCCAGGAGGTTTCTCAGGGACCTTTCGAGCCCCAGGAGGTTTCTCCACGACCTCTCGGACTGCAGGAGGATTCTCCGCAACCTCTCGGACTCCATGAGGTTTCTCCGCGACCTCTAGAAATCCGGGAGGTTTTTCAGGGATCTTTCGAGCCCCAGTAGGTTTCTCCACAACCACTCGGACTCCAGGAGGTTCCTCCGCGACCTCTCGAACTCCATGAGGTTTCTCACGGACCTCTTTATCTGGTGAATCTGGTCCCTCTACTTGGGGAGTAGACTTTACAGGACTGGATACGAGTTTAGAGGGAGTAGGGTATGCCAGAGAAGGAGTACTTGAAACTGAATGGTTCGGGCCAGGATTCAAGCTCTGCAAGTTTATTATAAGGGCGGGGTTAGATTTGGTGCTTGAGGTAGGAGGAGTATGGTTTCGCCAGCCACCCCCAGATCTAGCACACTCTGAGCAGTTCACGTGCCGGATGCAAGCATGTTTGATTTGTACACCAACACGGAATTTCAGATGGAGCAAAAACACAGATATCTTGTTTGGAAATCCAATTGTAGCCGGATCATTTAAGTCTTCAATAGTTCCTCCTTCCTTCTCAACAAAACGTTGATACTCATCCAATTTCTTACTTATGATACAGCGAACTTGAAATTGACCCGCCTTCTTAACAATTCTGAACCGTTGGGGAAGGCTTTTGATCTTTTCTAGTGTGTTGCTGATACTGGTGCAATACCTGTTCAGATATCTATCCAGGAGTTCAGGGCTAGGAAACTGAAACAAGATCCCTTCTGGTCCATTGGTCATTGAGATACGAGGGGAGTACAAAATATAAGACAAATTTGACGAAAACTCGGAAATCTTATCTCTTTGGTCCTCAGTATTTTTCAAGTACATGCTACAAACATCTCTCTCTGTCAGATAAGCAGAGTTAGAGAGCACATGACTGGCATCTTTTTTATCAGATTTTCCAGACTCAATCGGGGGGCAATTATCCGCTTTATCCATCTTCAAACTCTGCATTTCCAGATGTTATATCAACATTTTTATTTAATGTTTGAAGCTGAATAAAAATCTCAACTGTGGAAACTTTTCATTTAATTGAAATTTGTGTCACACAATACTTGTTCTTTTAAAGTTATAATTGATTCCTTCGAAATTTGATATCTGTTAATAATGGGCATATAAAAGCAAAATGAGTGTTTGTTTGTTAAATGTAATCATCTTCAGCATATATTATCATTTTTTAAACACCATTGTATCTATTAATCAATGTTATGTTTGTAAAATAAATAGAATGTGTTTAGTTTAGCTGCATACCATAAAACAAACTTTTTAAGAAGTAACGTCATTCACTAACCGGACAAAAAACTCTTATCTAAAATTTAATTGTTTTTTAAGTAAAACATTTCCTGGATTGATACCTATCTCGTCTCCAACCTTATCTTCAGCTTAATCTAATTAATCTGAAACAGGCAAATCTTAATTAGGTTTTACAATTAATGCTAAACTACTGCGAGATCAAATCTGCTGAAAAAAACAATTCTAGAAAACTTGCAAGGGTTATCATTTTTTAATTGTTCATGGGTAGTGTCCACAGCTGAGATATTGAATTAAAGAACATATGATGAGCTAAACTTCCTTCCAACAAACCAGAAATATCAGACAGAATTTAAAAAGAAGCAGAGATTAGCAGAATTCTGAACCAATGAATAGATAAGAAGAATGTACAGACAATTTCAAATACCAATTATTTTGAAAATATCAAAAATAAATGCTGGGGTGCTGTTTCCAACTTGGGGGTTTCGGGGTCCTGAGAACCCCCTCCTCAACCCCTCTATGGAATACTGTAATACTATTAAAATAATTTTGTACAATTTAGTAATTATCTTTAATAAAAACCTTTTTAAAATGAAAAAGTAGTTTTCATCAAATATTGTAGTCCATTGACAGCATCAGTAGATTTTATGAAATAATGCAGTCAATTGTCAGCATTAGTAGTTTTAATGAAGTGTTGCAGTCTATTGCAAGAATTGGTAGTTTCAGTTCGTCATTATTAATTTTCTTTATGAAATATTGCAACCCATGTCTGCATTAGAAGTTTTAATTAAAATATTAAAATTGTCAATATTATTATTTTCTGAAAATACTGCAGTCTTCTGTCCGTTTAAGTATCTTAAATGTGCTTACCAGCATTTGTGATTAAGTGATATTACTGACAGTGGTCAATATGTTTTGTGTGCATAAATGTAATACGTAAAAATGGTAAAGTATTTTCCAGTGCTTAGGATCCGGATCCTTATCCGCTGGATCCGCATTATTTTGACTCTCTGGATCCGGATCCGCAAAAAAATGCGGATCCGGATCCAAGCACAATTTTATTTTTCAAAATGTGCAAAACAGCGTTAATTTTCCTTAAAAATATCCTATTTTAAATTGTTTAACAGATTTTAAAAATATTCTCAGGGTCTCAGGTTTCTATCTTGCTCAAATCTTAACTCAGACCTCCACCGTGCACCCCTCCCCCATCCCCTTTAATAACTAGAGAGGGAGGGGGGGGGAGAAGTCTCCCTTTTCCCCATTGCAACTAAGCAAATTAGTCTCACAAATTAAGGTGTAAGGATGGGTAAGAGTGAGGGGGCGCACATATGCTAAAAAGATACAGATGCTAAGGAACATCTTGTGTTCCCAGTATAAAGAGACTGTTCTCTGCCCTGAAGATATTCAAATCAGACCTAAGGAGTTGCCTGAAGGCAGATATTCCAAACGCCCTCCTTCTACTAAAAGCTAATATGAATTAGACCTGTTTTTTTTTCATCCAATAAAGTAAAAAAAATCCATTATCATTTTGTGCAAACTAGTAGAAAAATAGTGTAAAAAAACGTTAAAATGTTTAACATTTTTTTTATGTATGAAAAGATATTTGAACTAAAATAAAATTTTTCTTGATCAATTTTTTTGAAAAGCGGATCCAGGATCCGGATCCGCATCAAAATTAAATGGATCCTAAGCACTGGTATTTTCAAGTGTTGCAGCTAAATCATCTCTAATAAGAATTTGTAATTTTTCCGAGATATTGGATTTTTTTGTTAATTGTATTCATCGTCAATATTTAACTGATTAAGAAGTCTGCCAGAAGCAAGTTTTTAAAATGAACCTTTAGAGCAATAAATTAATTTAGTAAAATTATTGAAAAAGTTCCACGGTATATGTGGTTCATACCTGCGTTGCAAATTGGAAGATCTAGTTCAATTTACATAAAAAGAAACATAAAATGTTGTGGAAATTATAAAAAGTAAAAAAACCCCTAGATTTTGCAAATATATTACAAATTAATATCATGAGGGAGCCATACAACCTTCTTTTGTGTTAGGACGTTATTTCTCCCCCTGTATTTGGTTATTCAGCGACAAGAACATGGTTTAATTACATAGCAATCTGTTGTAGGCCGACTTTATCATGGTTGACGTAGTTTGGTAGATTTAAGGGGTTCAAGTATTGTAATTATAACTAATCATGTGTCTTCAAAATTAAGTAACTTTTGAGGTTATAATTAAAACAAAACAGTTTTAAGTGTCTTCAGATATCGCTTTTGTCGGCACCATTTCTGATAGAAATGGAACTCAAAACTGAAAGGTTCGTCTAAAACTACGATAAAAATTCTAAATCATTAAAAAATACTTGATTAAATATGATATGAATAACATAAATTAATATATAGGATGAATATTACGAATAATGGACTACTTAACATATTATTTGTAACAAAATTAATTATAAACAGATTAGGCACGTATCTGACACATGATGTAATGCTTCCATCAAAGTCAAAATATTTTTACGCGAGGATGAATAGGATCTGACACAAGAATATGAGCACAGTAGGCCGATATGATGAATAAGGTTAATGTCATAGATTATTAACAATACAGATAGAACAATATATGTTGCTTTTTTTAAAAAATAGGGGTTTTTCGTTCACAATAACACTGAGACGGAAGCCCAAAGGAGTTACACGCATGCGCTCTATCTCTCTGTCTGGTCATTTAACGCATCATGCGCGGAACTCCTTTGGGCTTCTGCCTCAGGGTTATTGTGAATGAAAAACCACAAATCTTGAAAAGACAACATCTAATGATCCATCTGTATTGTTATTAATCTATGATTAAGGTGTTGTATCTCTATAATATTATTTACAAGATTAAATTAAAGCTTAAATATGAAGAACAGACTGATTGGTGCGCAAGGCTCTAACTAAAACGTAGAGGATCTTATAAAGAATAAGAACGACTTAAAGAGGAGTCAAACTTTAAGTTTGCCCTGGTAATTCCGAAACATTTAGTTTCCCAGCGGTTTAATGACGTAATTACAAGTGAACTACCATTTATAAAGGCATCATTTAAAGCTTTGTGTAATCCCCCCCCCCCCAAAAAAATGTTTTAAATTGGCAAAATTATTAAACTAAACAATGATTTAGAAAACAACTTTATCTTCTACATTATTGATCAAATAAAGGTTTAAAAGCTTACGTTGTAAATCGGGAATCCCCCTCTTTAAATGAAGGGTTGCTAATAATTACAAAACATTCCCTTTAAGTTGAATCTGCAATTTTTTTCAGGTTTCCTTAATTCTGTTTCTTCCATTTTCCACAAGGGCTAAATCAAACCTCTGGAACTAGTATTAAATTTTTGTTTCATTGTAGAGAAGGACAAGCTTACTCCGGGTCCTACACATACTCTTGGTTCGGATAGGTTTGGTATCAGGGCTTAGAACTTCCATCTTCTGCTGGGACGCCAGTTTCCATCGTTTATGATCGCAAGCATGCTAAATAAATTAAATTAATAACATTTTTCCGGTCAAACTAGTTTAGGGTAAAGTGAACAATCAAGCTAATTTCTTCTACAAGTAGTGTGATGATAAAGTAAACAAAAATCCGCGATATTCAAGAATAATACAGCGGGATTTTCATTTATTTTAATATCTAATTCCAAGGGACTACTCAGTATCATAACATCTAGCGAATTTCTAATTATCAACATCAATATCAGTAAGTTGTATTTTTATCTCATCAACAGTTACTTAAAAAGACAAGTTACAAAAAGGTTTAATGTACCATTCAGTTTGAGAAGACTCAAAACCGAATTTAATTCAATCTTGAAAAACTAAAACTGGAAACCAACAGTTAATAAACATTCTTTTTTGTTTATCTATATAATAACAAGACATTAATTTATATATATGTTCCTTTAGCCAGCCAAACGGCTGGACCGATTGGGCTGAAATTTTTTTGTGAACACTCATGGGTGGCCGGGNTAAAAAAATTCGATTAAAAAAAAATTTTATTTAAAAAAACATATTTTTTTCCACGGGCAACGCCGGGCCCTTCAGCTAGTTCTATATATTCCGAAGAAAGTATAGCCTCAGGCTTTCATCTGGAGAGTTTGGGCTTAGGACTATCAACCCCGGTGCATCACCATCATGTTCAAGAAATAATGTTGTAATAACCTGGTATAAATGCGCCAACCACATAACTTTCATTTCCTTGTTTTCACATTTGAACTCAATAATCCCGTCTCCGTAGTTCTCCACGGTGAATATATCTCCCTCGTCCCGGATAGTTGTCTCCTGGTCTATCCGGATCTAAACCAAATCATTCTTGATAAACCGAGATAGTTCTTGGAAATGAAAAGCATTTTAGTTTGCTACAGAAATATAGATCGGAGAAAGGAGTAGTTTCTCGGTTAGTTCTAGGACCTTCTTTCTATTTATAATTGCTTAATTATCTCTTGTGAATTTTCAGTTTATTCAAGGAATTTAACTTAAATCGTTAAAATCGTAAATGTACGGAAATGACAAAGCTAAGCGCCATCTGAACCAAAAGTCACAAAATGTTCGTTTTATTTTTAAGTTTGATTCATCAATATACTCAGTTTATACAATTTTGTGTAACTAATACCTGTTTCGACGGTGATCTAGCGGCTTCATACTGATCCAACCCCTGCCAAAGACAGAGTTTCCAATCCATTAATCTAGCCCAGCAGTTCTCTGCCCATCTAGCCAAACCAAACTTTAGGTCACAATTCGTGGAATTAGTTCGTCTAGGGTTTATTCATTTTTATTTAAGTGCACTATCAATTGGTGTTTGTTTAAAGGGACTGACCAAAGAAAAATGACAATGCCTAATTCACAACGATACCCTTGAAAGCTTTATTTGATCAAAAAGTTGAAAGATAAAATCCTTTTTCTGGGTTTAGCGTTGAATTCCGATAATTCCTTTATGTTTTCATGCAGTAAAATATCCTAGTCACTGTTTAAGAGAAATTGAAATTGAAATTGAAATTAATCAGTTTCCGAAATTAAAAACAATAATACAATGGTACGCGTTAATATCTATACTATGAAGACGACTTTTTTATTCAAGATTTGATTGTTTACAAGCTTTTATTTATTACAAGTTAACAAGTAATTAAAGAGAAGGTTTTTTAATGTACAGCTTCTTTTTGTTTCCATTTTTATGTGTATTCATGCAGTTAAAAAGCTTGATATAAATCAAAATTGAAATCGAAAGTCGTCTTCATTGTATTGATATAATCTCCTACCACTGTTTATTTATAATTCAATCTTGATCAGTCAAAGCCTTTAAGGGTACCGTTGTGAATCGGGCATTGCCATCTTTGCATGAAGGGTCATGAAGGGACTCAAGTGAAATATTTATATTTAAGAATAATAAATAATTTTTTTCAATCTTTTACATTTATATCCTTGAATAAATGTAAGATGTGTAAGATATAGAAAGAAGTTTATAGCTTGGTTTCCTGTCTCCGCTGTAGCGTTCGTTCAAGGGGTACCGGACCGACAGAGAACCAACCAGAACCGGTTCTTCTCTGCAGTACGGTTGTACAGCTAGCCGACAACAGAACTGACCGAACAATGGAGGAAGACGGTCATTCTCAGCATCTTCAAGAAATAGTTCGTGGGGTTTTACTTCTTCTCCGGCATCCTCCAACCTTAGCAACATATTTATTTTTAGGAAAGTTTTCTGAGCTTGGGACTTAGGAATTGGATAACCTTAATTCCGATCGCTTAATCTAAATATATTATGTGTAGACACTTTTCTTTTCCTGCTTAATCAGCTCTTTCTCTCTCTCTTTTTAAAAAATCCCTGTCAGATTTCGACCAATGAGCGTTCGCTGATTGAATGGCGCGTAAAATTTAAAATGTATCGGCTTTTGATTGGTTGTTCGGGACTCTGCATACGCCACTCTTTTGGTTGAATTATAAACACTTCGGATTTTTGGTTTTTGATTCGTGGATTTTCTGGTATAATTTCATTCAAACTAACATTTAATTCAAAAATTTATACATAGGCGAGTTGTTATATGGCGAAATTTTATATAGCGAGATGTTACTGAGCCTTTTGTACAGTAAATACATTCTCTTATGGCCCACCCTCTTGCACAATTCTAGTTGTCAGATCTGCTAATTTTGGATGACTTACATTTACATTTGTACAATTTCATTTTTTTATGTAAGATAACTTTTTTTTTAACGTAAATATGTTTTTTATAACAAAGTTTTTTTATTTAAACCCAAAGATATCTTCACAATCAATTCTTTGATAAAGGGTTAAACAGTACGGTTGTAATGAACATTGTTGTAGATGCATTTGAAATTCGGTAATTCTTTTTCCATTATACTTCAAAATTAAATTACCTAAGAGTAGCTGTAGCTAGAAGATCAAACTGGGGTCCAGGCTTAGATTTACTTTTCTTTATTTCAATCTCATCCTGAATATATGAAGGGGCTAGTTTAGTTAAACAACGGATAGAAAAGAATGATAAGGCAAATGAAAATAGATACAGGGTGTCCCACATCATGTTAGATCGATTATTACTCTAAATTAAGATTTAATGGATCGACTAAGAAGAAAATTCAACAAAAATGAATCATCGAAAAAAACGTTTAAGGCTTAAATAAAAATTTTCTTGGAAAAACAGCAGGTTTTTCGAGTTCATGTGCGTATTTTAGCGCTAAAGCACGGAGATAATCCAATATGATATGGGACGCTCTGTACAAACTCAGGACTATGATAAGGTTTGATAATTATGAACATGAACAGTATCCTAAACTTAATTTATCCCCTTCATTGCTTGCTACCAAACTGAGGTTCAATCAATGTAGGTTGACCCCTCTCGTATTTTTCATTTGAAAAAACAAGTTTAGTAATTTTTTTGTAAGAAGGACAGGAATTTGTAGGTAAACAATGAAGAAAACTTAGAAATTAAAATTTGAAAATATGAATGTAATTCTCAATTTTGATTAATAACGGCTTACCTGATTTTCCTGGTCTCTAAGTGGTTTACTGAAAGTTTTCCCAACAGCTTTACTAATGGATTTGACTAGCTTAGCGTGAGCCGAGGTGGAGGGTTCAGTCAGTAGGTAACTGTACAGCTCAAGCTTCAGCTCAAAGTACGGAGGCATTTTACTGTACAATTGGTTAGAGATTAACCAAAATAAAAATATGCAAGGTTGAAGGATAGTGTTTGTGTACATTTTACTATGAACTTGTTTAAGTTTAAAAATAACAATTTCAACCATGCCCAGGAAAATTCCGACCTTGTTTACAATCTTTGTGAAAGTTTTGATCAAGTTAGTTTGTATCAGTCCAGAAGTTTTCTCAAATTGCGTTTAACTAGATAGTTAATCAACTTGAATTTTAAGGGGTTGTAAGCGTGATTTATTATTTCAAGTGACTCTAAAGGCAAAAATGACAATACCCGAGTCACAAAGGTACCCTTGAAATTATGTTGAAAATATTGCCGTTTTCTAGGTTTAGAAATGTTTCTTAGGATAATTTCTATTCGTTTCCCTGCAGTAACTGTTGAGAAACAGCAATTGAAATTAATCAGTTTTCAAAAAGCATTAATATTTATTTCATACTTGAGCAGACAAAGCTTTTAAGGGTGCCATTGTGAATCAGACATTGCCATCTGTACATGTAGGGTCACTTAATATTACATTATCACTATATCACTGATAAACGCCCTGGTTTACATTTTTATTTGTAAATCCTCAAATAAAAAATCATAATTTATAAATGTAATCAACTAATTTGTTCCTAAAGAGAAGAACATCATTGAAGCAAACGTCTGTGCTGTGTCTGTCAACGGGAGATATTAACGCAGTATCATATATTTGAGATCCAACACGGACAATACAAAACACAGCAAACTTACGACTGTCTCCAGTATCCTAAACAGAGATTAGTTAAATGATAATTTAAAACCACAAAATGACAAACAAACGCTCATTTTATTGGTAAAACCATATGACGTAGCTATCTATCTACAGTCTACGCTGCTCTAGTAGAGCGTAGTTAGTGTGGTAGCATGACAAAGGAACCAGAAAAATGAACATTGCTCAAGCAAACTACAGAAGCTTTGTTAAAAATTTATCTTCCCATTCGTGCCTTCTAACATTATTTCTATTCTTCAAATATGTTGGAAACTGGTGGAAAAAGTTTAATCTAGTGCTTAGGATCCGGATCCGTTGGATCCGCAAGATTTTGGCTTCCTAGATCCGGATCCAAGGGGTAAAATATCAACCAAAAACTGCAAAAAAAATTTTTACTCCAAAAACCAAAATCTGAACTTTTGAAAAAAAGAGATTATAAAACTTTTATGGTTAATTAAGTTTTAGAATAAATATATGCGAAAAAAAATGACACAAAAAATTTGAAAATTATTTTTTGTTAAAAAAATTCAGTAAATCTTAAAGAAATGACCTGGATCCGGATTCATTTTTTTCCAGTGCGGATCCAGGATCCGAATCCGCATCAAAATTAAATTGATCCTAAGCACTGGTTTAATCGTTAAAGAACCCGTAACAAGTAAGACATTTTGTAGTATCTCTATAAATATTAATAGCAGCCGGTTGTATTTTTGAATGTAGACTCATATAATTTGTTAGGAGCAGGAAATGAAGTCCGATTGTCAAAATCTCTTTCCGGAGACTTGGAACCTCTGAAAAGTGACCTCCGTCGGCTCCGATTTTTTTTATCTCCGGCCTCGTTGGACATAAACAGTCCAACTTTTTAATATATACTCCCAATGACCCCTACAATACGCTAAAAAAAAAGAAAAAAATTCCTTAAGTTTTTGATGTCAAAACAGGGTGTCAAAAAGTGCCTTTTTTTGATTTTTTTAAAATGCAAGTGACAAGTTCTGATCAAAAATATAGGAGTCAAAGAAAAGAGAAAATATTATTTAAATTATAATATAACACATTGATGAAAAATTTTTTTTTCAAATTATTTTTTGGGGGGGCTACGAGGTGTTAATTTTTTTTTGACAAATCAATTTTTTTTTTGCATTTTCCTCCCTAATACAGATGGTGGCTGGTTCCAATTTAAAAATTAATACTATATTATAGCCTAGGAGCAGGATATGAAGCCAGATTGTCGATATCTATTTCCGGAGACATGGAATCTCTGAAAAGTGACCTTCGTCGGCTCCGATTTTTTATCTCCGGCCATGTTGGAAATAAACAGCCCAATTTTTTAATATGGACTCCCAATGACCCGCAGAATACACTAAACAGCAAAGAAAAAAATCCTCAAGTTTTTGATGCCAAAACAGGGTGTCAAAAATTGCATTTTTTGATTTTTTTTTAAATGCCAAAAGTGACAAGTTCTGATTAAAAACATAAGAGTAAAAAGAGTAAAATGTGTTAATAATTATTTAAATAATATTTTCTGTTTTATTTTACTCTTATGTTTTTAATCAGAACTTGTCACTTTTGGCATTTTAAAAAAAATTTAAAAATGAAATTTTTGACACCCTGTTTTGGCATCAAAAACTTGAGGATTTTTTTCTTTGTTTTTTAGTGTATTCTGATCTTTTTAATAATAATATTTTAACCGAATATTTGATAAGCTCCACTTGTGAAAACTCGCGGAGTCCCCTGGTGTTCAAAATTTAAGAATAATTCAAGCAAAATATTGTAAATTATGTACCCAAAAATAAACTTATTATATTATTATTAGTCAATATTGAGCTTTTCCCCGTTTTAACTCCCCACTCTATTCCAATGGTCCAACATGTTACATGTTACCTGCATATGGTCCCTAGGTCTCCACAGTAGAGGAATTCTAATATCTGATAGACTGACCGCTGCATAGCTGGGGTTTCCTTTCTTCATCGCGGGACTACCTCTTCCTCGCCGCAGTTTATTCAATTCAAATCTAAAATTCATTTCAGAATTTAGTTCGTTCAAATCTCTTACTCTTTAATTGCGCAAAAATGATCCATTTTATCTATCAACAAATTTATTTCTACGCCACTAAATCACAAGGGTGAATATTTTCAGAATTGGAAAATGAAAAATGGGAGATTAAAAGCAAGTTTTTTTATATGTATCATGTTATGTACAATGAATCATGTTATGTCCCATATATCATGTTATTTGCCATGTATAATTTTATTTGCCATGTATAATGTTATTTACCATGTATCATGTTATTTACCATATATTATGTTATTTACCATGTATCATGTAATTGTACATATTTTTTTTTACTTTTGCCCAAAAATTTATGTATTTTTCCTAAAAATCAATAATTTTCCCCATATCACGAAATGGTTCCTAAAAAAACATACAAAACAGCTTGTGAAAAAAATTATTTTTACAAGAAAATAGAGAGCCCTGTTTAGTGTTTAATCCTCTACTATCCAGAACCTTCATTTTACTTAAAGATAATAAAAAGTAAAATAAAAATTAGGACAGTTTGAAATATCAAGGGTTTACACATATTTAAGGTGCCAGGAATAAGGCTTAAAGAAATAAACAATAATCAATCAATCAATCAATCGATCGATCGATCAATCAAGGGTTTACACAACAAGGTTGAAAAGTAGTGTAAAAATATGTTCAGTTCTTTTCTTACCTCAACATATCAACTCGTAGATTCCCCAAAAGTAAATTTTTAGCCGCTTCAAGGGCTTGGTTCTGGTTCTTGCAGGCCGTCAGAAACCTAGCTGTACCCTGAGCTACAGATTCCTCAATTTTTATCTTGTTCTGGATTTCTTTCTCCATAATACCCGGAGCTGAACCCAACTGAAGTTTAAGACGGATAGATTCACGTTTCCTTACTGCAGCCTAGGATACAAGATTGCAATATTCTTTTACTTATTCATAACAAAGAGCCTCATTTCCTATTTATTCAAGTGTTTTTAAAAAAAAACTAGATAACTGACCATTCAGAACCACTTGAGAAACTGAGATAAGCCTTAGATTGAGTGGTCTGTTTCGATAGTATACTAGTGAATACAACCTGGGTCAGACTGTATGCCGGACGCGTAATGCAGCCCGTTCCTTCCATAAACTACATTGGTCGACAACTTGACGTTTCCTATATTGGTCGTCAAATGTACGGAGAAATATCTATCTGTCAGATAAGAATTTAGCATTAGACATCTAGCGGCCAACATATCGTCCCCCAAAGTACGTGAACTACACGACCACTTTCTATGGAGAGAATGGGCTCAGGTTGTCAACCCAGCCTGGAGGACAAGTATAAAATACAATATTCTAATGCTTAATAGAAATAGAAATAAACATATTTGTATTCATATGAATTTGTGCGTTCCCAGAAAGATTGATAACATGTTTTTAAAAACTGATTATTTAACATTGTTACATGTGGACTAGTCCAAACAATGGTTAATTAACCAATACAACTCACGTACTACAATGTTATGAAACACACTCAACCTAAAAAGCAAACAAATTACTTCCTAAATGGACTCCAGAGTTGAGGGTGCTTTCAGCGTTTATTTACGCCCGAGTACAGCTCAAGTTAGGACTCGAGTTTAAGCTAGACTTGGATTTGGTTAAGAATCAAGTCAGATCAGATCATAATTTACAGGGACTACTCGGGCATCCTTCCTTAGAGTTAAAATTCCAATAGGTTTTAACGCCGTAGATCATAAATTTCGTTATAATTGTTATTTTTAGCGCCTTGCTAACTAACTACAATCAAATAAATCTTTAAAAATCTTACCTGAAACTGTGTAAGTCCTGCCTGGTACTCCTCCTCCCTCTCAGGTTCCTTCCTCTTCAGTCCTCGTCTAATTGTATTCATTTTTAACAGTTCATCTGAAATATTAATTATTTGTCTCACAGCCTCTTGTTACACGGTGACACTGGACTCACACTCGTTCAGTCATTCTTTTCCAGAAAGGAATTGAGCCTTTTTCACAAACTCAAATTTTCATATTGCTTTATTTTATCAACCTGATGGCGTAAACCTATGATATTTCCAATTCAGACCTGATGGCGTAAACCTACGATATTTCCAATTTAGACCTGATAGCGTAAACCTATGATATTTCCAATTTAGAAAATGGAGTTTGTGGGAAAGACTCAATTCCATTAAATTGTGAATGATAAATTTAGATTGGTTTGATGATCTTTATATCCGGACTTGTTCAGTTCTTAGGAAATGTTACTCCAGCAGCATCATCGGTCTCCAAGCCAATATCATCAAACAGCTCCTTCTTAGATTTAGGCCAGGATTCAAGAATAGAATCTAAACAAAGGAATTGAGTCTTAGACACAAACTGAAATTGTCTTATCCCTTTCTCTTTGCAACCTCACGGTGTTAACCTTTGATATTTCAAACCTAGATTACTTGATGCAGCGAAATTCATAGATTCAAATATCTAAGGCCTGCGACATCGGGTTGCAAGGAAATAGAGGCTAGAAAATCAGAGTTTGTGGCAAAGACTCAATTCCTTTAAATAATTGTCAGGACAAAATTTAATACAGATAAATAAGATTAGAGAAAAGAAGATATAGAGAAAGAAATCGTAAATATCCTTGTAAACGATTTTTGGTCATTTACAAAATTGATAGAAGGGGGTCCCCCACCCCTTTATTGCTAAAAAGTTTTATTTAGCGCCTTAACCTACAAAAATAACAGTTTCTTTATAGTATAGGCAGTGCTTTGGATCCATTTAGTTTTGATGCGGATCCGGATCCTGGATCCGCTTTCCCAAAATATGGATCCGGATCCAGGTCATTGATCAAAACAAAATTTTATTTTAGTTCAAATTTTTTCATACATAAAAAAAATGTTAAACATATCTTCAGGGCAGAGAACAGTCTCTTTATAGTGGGAACACAAGATGTTCCTTAGCATCTGTATCTTTTTAGCATATGTGCCCCCCCTCCCTTTTCCCCCTCATTCTTACACATCCTTACACCTTAATTTGTGAAGACTGAATTTGCTTAGTTGCAATGGGGAAAAGGGAGACTTCTCCCCCCCCCCTCTCTAGTTGTTAAAGGGGGGGGGTGCACGGTGGAGGTCTGAGTTAAGATTTAAGCAAGATAGAAACCTGAGACCCTGAGAATATTTTTAAAATCTGTTAAACAATTCAAAATAAGATATTTTTAAGGAAAAATAACGCTGTTTTGCACATTTTGAAAAATAAAATTGTGCTTGGATCCGGATCCGTGGATCCGCATTTTTTTGCGGATCCGGATCCAGAGAGCCAAAATAATGCGGATCCAGCGGATCCGGATCCTAAGCACTGAGTATAGGGTAGGCAAATGTCTTAATAATCCATTATTTATCTAAAAACGATATAAAATTTTTTTATTGACATTATTGATTGAATGTTATACATTAACATTATCCATATCATATCATATCATATTATTCTAATGAAGGGAGAATTATTTTTTATTTCCTGTTATTCCATAAATTCCATAAATTAAAACGGAAATGATTATTACATGAAGCAAACATAGAAAACCCCAACCCCTGCAGCCAGGGGCGTATTCAGGAACTTTTGCAGGGCGGGGGCCTAAAGTCTTTTTTTTCTTTTTTAGGAGGGTGGGGCTTAGCAGTCAGCACCCGTTTGGGCAAAAAAATGAAAACCATAGATTTTACTGAACCAAGGGGGGAAGGGGGGGGGGTTGAGTCCCCCCTCTGAATACGCCTCTGCCTGCACCAATAAAGAAGGAAGAGCAAACCTAGCGCATCCATGCACATCCGTTTCCTTTTCCTCCAGAGATTAATGGACTGCTCATGTGTCTTCCTTATCCTCTCCTTATCCTCAGCTGAGACTAGGACAGTTTGATTCTCTAACTTTTCCAGCCTTTCCTGTAATTGTAAACGTAATTTCAAGTATATCCTAATCAAGTGTGGGCAGCACTTTAAACTCGTCAGTTCAACAATATTCAACCAGACACAGAACTGAACCAGAGATGGAATTTAAAGAATTTGAGCCGCGGTTTAAATTCGCCAAAATCCGCCAAAACCCGGTTTGAATTTAGCGCCGGCTTAAATCTTGAAACATTTGATACAATTTTAAGTTGAACCAACCATATTTAAACCGCGGCTTAAATTTAAACCGCCGCTCAAATTCTTTAAATTCGGCCACAGGAAGGATTGTCGAGTACAAGTATATATATAGTTAGATGTAATAATGTAGTCCTCCCTATACCATCAAATAGCAGGGCTCCCTTCACTTCACAATTGGCTGTATGTTTTAGTATTTATCATTTAAAATAAAATATGCCAAATTGCCAATCTTTTAGGATACTCCCAACCACCCGACTATTTTAGGTCAGGTAGAGGTCGTAAAAGTTCCCTGTATGATTTACAACGGCAATCTTGAAACATTTATCAAGTATCAAATACCAGAATAATTATGACCGGGGAAAGGTTTCCCAAGACCTCTCTCAGTTTGGATGAACAAAAAGACGAGTCTATGTAATTATGGAGGTTAACGTAAACAACTGGGGAAACATTACACCAACTATCCTTTAAACAAATCATTAAAAACCAATTTTCCCTTATCATATTTGATCGTGCACATGTTCTAACAGAAAATACTGAAGAATGATTATCTGCTGTTTTGTCAGGCTAATTTAAAGTTTGCATGTTGAAAATTAAGTATTCTGAACTAATTCTGGTGTGTAAGCTCAATAAATGGATTATCAGAACTTGCTCACCATCATTTCTGTATTCTCTGTTTCAATCTGTTTGAGTTTGGTTTCTGCTTCCTGGGTTGTAAGTACACTATTTAGTTTACGAACTTCTGCTTCCATTATTTTCAATTGTTCCTGGAGAAAACAAACAAAATTTAACATAAACTAAGGGTTTTCCTGTTTATTATTTATTGCAGTTATTTTTTCTCATTTTCCTTTTTTGTAAGTAAAACATATATTTCTTAAGCTTAAAATTGTGAATTTTGTTAGTTCCTGTTTCTTCGAGAGAGTTTGTGTGAGTTTTGCACATTCTTGATCCAGCTCTACCAGCTCACTTTCACTAGAGGTCGGTAAATTATCCTTAACAATTTATTTCAACTGAAAATTCTTGTTCAAAACACCTTTCTCAGTCCCCCCTCCCCCCCATGAAGAGCCCAGACCGCCATTGGAGCAAGCACCCAGAGGACGATTAATATTTTAGTAAAATAGGGTTTGGTGCTCCTTCTCGTCGAAAAGTGATCAATGAAGACTTATCCTATTTTGTTTAGCCTTGCTATAGTTTTTTCCTGTTAAAAATAAGTTAAAACTCCGCTTCTAGAATATAAATGCCAATACGGTCATTTTACTGACAGGATCGCAACCAAGGTTGTATAATAAGGTTGCGCTCCAATTCACGGAAAATTTCGTTTCTTAGCATAGATAGATAAAATCCGCATATGACGTCACTGATTGTAGAGACGAGAGTGAAGTTATTTGCAGATTCTATCTATCTATGCTAATAAGACGACCTTTTTCGTAAATTGGAGCGCATCGAGAGTAAGCAACCTTGATCCCAACCAAGATGATAATTTTTTTTCTCTGACCTGATTAGCAACATAACACTTCTGTTTGCCGTTAATCTTCTCCTTGAGCTTGTTCTCTGCAACTAGTTGGTCCAGAACCCTCTGCACCAACGGTTTACCGTGCTCCTTGTGCAGGTTCATGAACACGTCCTAACAAAATATTATAATTTGTTCAGTGTATTTTCTTTTAAAAACATCCGATTCCTCCATATTTATTTCTTTGACTAGGCTGATAAGTACCCGACCCGTCGAATTCTTCTCATCACTGAGCTCACATAAGAAAACCCACACGGCACACAAGGCGCACATGTTTACTTAAGGAACGTAAGGAAATGGAATCTGTAGGAGACCCCAATGTGGACCCTCCAGACCGCCGCTAGATATTGGAAGCACCGTCCCAATACCCGTTCCACTGCCAGACCTTCAATCCCCCAAGCTTTCCCCAGCCGGGGAGGGGGGGTCAAAGAGATACTTCCAGTGGTTGGGAAACCAATTAAACCCATTGGTTGGTTGGTATCTGACAACCGTGTTAGTTGAAGCAAGATGATTTAACGGGATTCATAGTGGTCCTGATTCAGAAAGGTGGTTAACCAAGACAAAGTGGACACCTCTTTGCTGAAGAGCCGTAGATGTTAGGCCGACGGTTACCGAGCCCTTCATGCTCGCAGTCTGTTAAAGAGTCCTCCTGCCTTGCTTTCGCACACATGGGGCTGGAGTTTAAACCAGACTTTTGGGGTAGGCATCCAGTTTAGAAAATTTAACTGCTGTTTCTGTTCCGGAACCCTTGCCACCGCCCATTCAGTAAGCCTCTTCTTCAACCGGGATATAGGAGCATCAAACAGTTCGACTCCTTATTCGGAAACCAGGTCCCCAACCTCCTCTTATGGGTAAAAAGTATCGGAAATGGAAGAATCCTTGCCAGTATCAGTCTCAAAAAGGTTAAAAAGACACTCGTGCAGATTTATGAATTTCACTTTTTAGAAAGTTATTTTACCTGTTGACCTCGGTACTGTTGTCGGGCCAGTATCAAACTCTTTAAACTGTCATCTGTATCATCCAGTCCCATTTCTTTTCTGGCCTTCATTAGAGTTTTCATTATTTAAGCTCAATTAAAATTAACATTGAAAATTACATTGAATTGAAGGTTTAATTAGAAGGTTGCAGTCTTTGTCAGAGTCGTTCAGTTAAAAATCTTTTTTTTTGTAGATAAGTAGTTATTTAGCACCCCTGCGAAACAACAATTATTTTGCAGGAAGGGTAGGGGATATTTAATTTAATAGATTCCCAACACCAACTAGTTCAGGGATTGGAACCCATGATAAACTTTTAAGTTTTTAATTTCCCTAAAAAGTAGTTTTATTCAATCTTATCGTCTTTTGGGTTGAAAATGTGGGATTTTTTCACGAAAACTTCGTGGACTCTTCATCTACTTTACCGTCCCAAGGAACAGTTATGTAACTTAACATCCTTCTGCTGGCGGTATCATGGGTCGCTAATGTTGGACAAAAAGGCGGAAAAATGAATAAATCACCTGTTCTGCTTCATCTGCTTCTTTTTTAGCAGCTCTTTTCCTAGCATTCACAGCTTTCTTATCTTCGGTTGAATATGCCTAAATATAGTTATTTAATATATATACAATACATATCTTCTTAAAACAAGTCTAAAACATTTTCCATTGTTTATTAAATTTGGTCATTGTTGGACACTGTGTTTCGGCTTCTATATAATAAAACAAGACATTCGTATATATATATATATATAATGTTGCGCATAGCCGGCCAAACGGCTGGACCGCTCGGGCTAAAATTTTTTGTGCACACTCATGGGTAGCCGGATGGTGTTATAGACAAAAAAAAATCAAAAATATTTTTTTCAAATTAAAAAAAAAAAATTTAAATTTTTTCCACGGGCAACGCCGGGCTCTAGTATCTTATATTAAAAAATCTTTAAAATAACAAAGCCGTGAATTTATCATTTATCTAATTAATGATATTTGACAACTTTATCTATTTTAATCCCCCCCCATTAAAAAAAATAACCCCGGTACTATTAGATATTAAGTATTGAGAAAGAGAAAGAATTTTTCTTACTTTACATTACATGCAATGATAACCAGAAAACAATGAAATAGGAACAGACATTTTGGCAATACTCATGTATTTGATGTTGTTACAAAACAAGTAGTTTAACTAGACACTATGTTAGTGAGATTGATCTGTTTACACTGCACAATTGCTGTGTCTTATGATCATTGGACTTTTTAAAGTCCTAACTTTATCCTAAAAGTCATCTTCTTATTTTATAGTTTTCTGGATATCACTGTATATAATGTATATTTTAATAATCCTTACCTTAAACTTCTTGACCTCCTTCTTCTTTATCATCTGGTCGATGATCTCCCTGAACCTGTCCTCATCCTCAACACTGCAGAGCAGGACACTGTCCAGGATAAAATCCATGCTTCCTTCACCCTCTAGAATTACTACCAATATTTCTATATCCATTATCTACAGCTTGGTTATCTCCCCCCAGGACGGATGGATTTAGAAGCATAAAAATTAAGGTCACCAACATTTTTTTTAAGAAAAAAATAAAAAGTTATCAAGTTGAAATTAATAATAACCTAAATAAGCTTTCTTTAAGTCTTCCTTCTCCTCTTCAGATCCTTTATATTTCTTCTCAAATTCCTGGATGTCTTTCACAGTGACCTGAAAAAAATATTGCTACATAAATTAAAAATTTTTTCAGGTAATATATATTTCCCGGAAAATCATATCAAAAATTAAGTTTGCTGGTATTTTTATGCATTTAATAAAAGTTTGGGGGGNAAGGGGGGGGAAATTCCTTGTAATATGACAAGATAAAATGTCAAAGCCTATCTCAACCACCCTAATTCTTTGCACATTGATTATTCTCCATAACATTACTCTATTATAAATTTCCTCACCTTGGGGAAAAGAACCCGCCAGTACTCCTCCCAGTCCTTATTCTGAGAGAACATGTTGTTAATTAAAAGTTTTTTCCATCAAATTTCCCAACCCGATAATAAACCGAAAATGTCCGATTCAAAATGGTACCCTTTAAAGCTTTACCCGATCAAGTATGAATTAGATATCAATGTTTATAATTTTGAAAACTGATTATCTTAATTTTATTTTCTCTACAAGAATGACTTGCGCATTTCTACTGCAGAAAAACATGATCAGAATTAATCAATTTTAAACCTAAAGATACGACAAAATCTTCCACCTTCTTGTTCAGATAAAGGTTTCATGGGTAAGCTGTCAATCGGGCGTTGACATCTCTCCATGGAGTGTCACTTAAAATTACGCTTACGATCCCTTTAAGCGATTGTAAAAACATAAAAATTGCAAATATTGCTAATTGATTGATTAATAGAACATGTTCCTGTTGCAGAGGATCATTTTCATCATCCACCTCTCTACACTCGTCATACAGTCCTCGTCTAAAAAACGGTCAAGTTTTTTTTTATAAGTTTAACATTCCATCCACGATTCACACGAAAATTTGGATTTTTGTCCGGAAATGGTGGCAACGAATTGGTCAACATATTTAACTTTTTAATTTATTTGGAAATCTACCAAGCACAAATAATATATTCATACAGGCAAATTTTAAACTTACGAATTTCGTTTCCGCGTATTTGACTGATAAGACTTAGAAAACACTGACTAACCAAGATATACCAAGATCTGTGACCTTATATCGTGTAATAATATTTTCACAGTTGAGTGTATTCTTACATCCCCTCCTCCCACCATCAGCGAAGAATTCAGTCCAGGGAAGAAAATTCAAGAAAAAAAGGAGGAAAAGGGAAAAAAAGAATTTTTTTTTTAAATTCCACTCCGGGGAAGGAAATTCGGGACAATAATGACAACATCTAGTATGAATATACTCCCCTGTATTTTTATCATGATACGTTATCTCTTTCCAGTTCAAGGGTTCTCCAAGCTTACAGAAAGATTTGGACATCTGAATTAGCAAAAGTATTTCGAATACGGCTTTTAAACAGAATGTCTGACTTATTTATTTGGGGTTTAAAAAGATATTTTTTTTGCAAAGTTTCAGTTTCTTTCAAAGAAATTAAAGAAACAAAGAAATTAATTTCCCTCAGTTACTGGTTACTCATTATTTATTTTATTATTTTTGTTAGTTTATAATTAAGGAGGAAGCTAATATTATGATATTGATCACGTGGTTTTCAATTTATTAAAAACTAGCTTGGGAACCCGACGTTGCCCATGTTACACATAGTAACTCCAACCGTTTATCCGCACTTGGTCGATTTAATAGACGACCCGCTAAAATTAAATTTTCAAAGCCAAGCTAAGAACATTTCCGTGGTTCATCCGAGTTCCCCAATCAAAATTTGAGGCCAATCAGTCAAGGGGTTCACGAGTTATGAGACAAACGAACAGACAGACAAACAGAGAATACAACTTTATTTATTGATTTAAATATTGTTCTAGATCTGAATGTATTATCAGAACTAACTGTTGGTTCAACCACAGTTGGTACTCTGATAACAGCCAAGATAATTAATTTCCTGCCCCCCTCCCCCAACTGTGTAAGGAGGGGATGATAAGAGTGCAGGTGCCGACCATCTGCTATCAATGGTAAACCCAAGAAACACAAAACAAGATACAAGGCTGTAAATAAATCAAATATCAATTAAATTTGAATTTAAAATTGAAAAAAATACTTTTTTGAGTAAAATGAAAATATTACAAGGAGAATAAAAAACTAAAAAAATTAGATTAAATTTTTTATCATAACTTGAGTTAGGTGTTGAGATTTATGTTATTTAGAAATAAGATACATACATCCCAATATTTTTCGACAATGGTAATACTGTTTCAGTGTTGTTATGCGGCCATTGGACAATCAAGAATCTTAGTCTTTAAAAAAAATCCATGTATTGCGTAATTCCATTTCCGAATATAAGACAGTACTTAAAAGATCATTAAAATTTTATTTGAATAAAAACACTAACCTTCCCTCATCCGTAAGAATCGCGTAAACAGCTCCGATACACTGGAACTTTTTAGTACAAAGGTCTCGGTCTACCTCACCTACACGGTCAGGGTGAACTTCCAGAGATTTCTAAACATAATAGAAAATAGAATTCTCGTTCTTGGGTTCAAAAACAGCTAGTTTTAAAAGATTATAATAGTCAACAAATGCTACAAATAATTAGGTTAAAAACTCGAAATCGTGATTTATTATGTTACGTAACATTTCATTACCTTGTGATATGCCTTCTTTATTTGTTGACTGGAGGCTGATTTCTCCAGTCCTAACACAGAATAGAGATCATTGGTTTGAAATAGTTCTTCACAGCTCACTAGAAGAGACGGCATAGTGTCTTAAATCTGAAAACCAGTTAGTTTTCAAAATACGCGGAAATTTCTCCGGTAGTGTTGTCCAGTAGCTGGTTTGAATTTCCCAGATTTTTAAACGGCTCCCGTACCGTCCCGCCCACTTCAACCGTGGGAAACAAGGGATGCGCTCTAGAACTTTTCAAAATCCCGTGAGCGCATAGTTCCCAAGGGAATTGTCCTAAATAATAATTGAAATAATGTCGTTGGTTTTTGCAAAGTCGTTTAAAATTAAAGAATCCTCTTCATCAGCAACTATACTCAGGAAACCCTTGTCAAAATCATTCAGGTAACCAACAAAAAAATAGTTCAGGGAGCAAAATCCACGTAATAACTAAAATTAAAAAAATTTAAACCTCTTATAATGCTACACAGACGGACTGTGGATGGTTGCAAGGGGGAGGGGAGGGGTAGGAGGGATGATACATTTCTTTTTTACGTGGGTAATCCTTAAACTATCAGAATGATACTTTAGTCGAGGAGATATAATGTCGACGAAAGCTCAGTTAACGAGACCTGAACGCAGGTTTACAAGATTGGTTAGCTCATCCTCTCTTCAAAACCATGACAAACTGGAGCAGGTTCAAGATCCAGGTATACATAGATATAGTTAGCACCTTCTCTTCAAACCCATGATAAACTGGAGCAGGTTCAAGATCATACATAGATATAGTTAGCTCCACTCTCTTCCTGAGTTATGATCGGACAAACAAACACTCAAACAAACAAACAAACAAAAACAAACAAACAAACAAACAAACAAACAAACACCCAAACAAACAGACAAACAGAGATTACAACTTTATATATATAATAGATATCACGTCTTTTTGAAGCTTTGGTTAGATTTAGAATTTTTTTTTATTTTTTAACGTAACAGATCACTAATCTCTTTATGAATATTGGCCCAACGATGATTCAAGAGATGAATTGAAAAACATCCTAAAACCGTGAAAAGTTGAGAATATTTTCATTATCCTCAGAGACTCCGAGTTCAGCGAGATACGATTTGAGCGCATAGTTCGGATCCTCTTCCATCGGAGGGTCGTCTTCACATTCGTTCTCTTCGTCGAGATATTCTCCTTTGTCCTGGTTTATCTTCAATCCTAGAATATTAAACACTTTTTTATTGTCAATATTGATATATAACAGAACAAAAACATACTTGTTAAATCCAAAATCTAGACTAACAACATTAACAACAACTTTAGACTAACAACATCAACAACAACTCTAGACTAACAACATCAACAACAACTCTAGACTAACAATAATAAAAACAACTCAAGACTAACAACATCAACAACAACTCTAGACTAACAACATCAAAAACAACTCTATACTAACAACATCAGCAACAACAACGAAATGCAGGAAAATACAATCTGAAGTCGGAACTTATGTGTTGTTAATCTCGGGATTATTGATCTCCATATTATGCAGACCTACGGATTAATTTAAATCCTCTTTGATATCCCATGGTGGTAACACTATGCAGGGATAACTCAAACAGAGGGGTCAAGTATTTATTCTCAAATTTTAAAGTACCCAAATTGGAAATCCAGATTAAGTGTTTTAGATACTTCACACATAAGTTATGCCCTCTGGACGTTTAATTCCTTTAAATTCAGTTGAAGTCAAACTTGGCATTGTTATTCAGTGGGGTTTTTTTTTTACTTGCCCTTGTTTCCCAAATGAAAAATAGTTTTGTATTTATATTTATCAGTTTACAGGTTTTAAATGTCGACTGCCTCCCTAATGGGTTTATTTATTCTTTGATGGCACCGATTAGAGTCAAAATAGAACTACTTACCATGCGGCATCATGATGTTTATAATGTTACTACTGATCCCGTCCTCAAAGGAAGTGTAGTCAATCTTGCTCCGTAGACTTGGTAAACTAGCTCTGATCTTAGGTCCTGTGTAGTTTGGACAAACGTTCAAGCTTCCATAGGTCGTCTTGGATTTTCGTTGAACAGGTCTCATACAATATTGAGCCGAGTCCCTAGAAATATCATTTTATAGTACTTAATTAATCACACTTTTTATCAAAGCATTATCTGATATGTAAAACATTGATTATTTTTCATGTATTTGCTGTACAAATTGTTTCGTGTTGAGCACTCCTCGGAGCATGAATTAGATTGAAAAACTTAAAGCATTATGTTTTCGTCGATTTTCATAAAAATTGAAATAAAAAGATACCACAGACATCATTAAATGAAAACTACTTATAATACAAAATTAAATAAAAACAAGTCTTCTTACCTGCTCAAATTTCTGTTGGCGTCTTCTGTTTTCTTTGATTTCTTTGATTTTCCCCCTTTTTTCTTTTCTTCCATTTCTTCTTCTATCTTTTTTCCGTAGTAGATCTTCCTTGCATAGTTCATCTTTAATTTGGAAGATTTAAATACTTGTTTACCCCAGTTCTCTAGATATTCTCCATAGTTACATTCTTCTCCATTTTCACCTCTTTCGCCTAGTTCATCCTACGAACAGGACCGGATTATTTTACGACGATTTAATACAGGCTAATTTTTAAAAGTCGATTTTTTTTCATTTATGCTCCATTGAATGTAAAATCGGCATTTTGAATAAAAATCTCTCAATTTCTTACTTTGTCTAACAACTTGATAATTCCCGTAGCAACAATGGCTACACCCAGAAAAAAAAGATTACAGGTCGCCCTTAAACAGGTCAAACAATGTCAAAAATACGGCATTTTTCTCCATTTTCTCCCTAAAAAAATATTTTCAACATTTTTTATTTAATAACTTTGAAGTTCCCTAGATATATGAGAAGATCTTTTAGAACACGATTCCAGCTTTTAAAATACTAAATTCGTCCTCCATGTGATGTAAAAAATTAAATCGTCCAAATATCGGGTTCAAAGTTTGGAAGTTGTTTGAGAGCCTCCTTAAGCAGAGAAAGATTAACAATGCTGGACATAATTATTTTCTTTGTCAAATGTATGTTATAACGAGTTCATAAACAGTATAATGATCTCATTGTTGTACCTTGTTTTGTTTTGGCGAACGATTAAAAAATATCGACTTTTAATCATACCCTTCAGTATTTTAATCAAAAATGGGGGAGCAGAGCGATCACTGAATTGCCTTAATTTTAATTTTTTAAAATAGAAATTTCTCGAGAAAAAGTCATTATCATCGGTCCTTAAGAATGAGAAGCTTGTTTTGAATTACGTATTGATCAGGGAAAATGTGAAAGTAAAAAGATAAAATTACAACATTACATCCATTTAAAAACTCTGGGTCAAACAGCTTGTATAAAGAATGTTAATTTAGAACCCCCCCCCCCCTAAAAAAAATTAAAAGGGGTTTATCCGGTTAGCACAATTGACTCGTAATTTTTAAATCTCGCATAGACCTTTAACAGATATTATATCCCTGGTCGAAGTTTCTAGAAAGAAACTCTCGTAGACCTTTAACAGATGTGATATCCCTGGTCGAAGTTTCTAAAAAGAAGCTCTCCAAGACCTTTAACAGATGTGATATCCGTGGTCGAAGTTTCTAAAAAGAAGCTCTCCAAGACCCATAAAAGATATGATATCCCTGGTCAAAGTTTCTAAAAAGAAGCTCTCATTAACCTGTAAAAGATGTGATATCCCTGGTCAAAGTTTCTAAAAAGAAGCTCTCATAAACCTGTAACAGATATGATATCCCTGGTCGAAGTTTCTAAAAAGAAGCTCTCCAAGACATTTAACAGATGTGATATCCCTGGTCGAAGTTTCTAAAAAGAAGCTCTCCAAAACCTTTAACAGATGTGATATCCCTGGTCGAAGTTTCTAAGAAGAAGCTCTCCAAGACCTTTAACAGACGTGATATCCCTGGTCGAAGTTTCTAAAAAGAGCTCTCCAAGACCTTTAACAGATGTGATATCCCTGGTCGAAGTTTCTAAAAAGAAGCTCTCCAAGACCTTTAACAGATGTGATATCCCTGTCGAAGTTTCTAACAAGCTCTCCAAGACCTGTAAAAGATATGATATCCCTGGTCAAAGTTTCTAAAAAGAAACTCTCATAGACCTGTAAATGATATGATATCCCTGGTCGAAGTTTCTAAAAAAAACTCTCGTAGACCTTTAACAGATATGATATCCCTGGTCGAAGTTTCTAAAAAGAAACTCTCGTAGACCTTTAACAGATGTGATATCCCTGGTCGAAGTTTCTAAAAAGAAACTTTCGTAGACCTTTAACAGATGTGATATCCCTGGTCAAAGTTTCTAAAAAGAAGCTCTCATAAACCTGTAACAGATATGATATCCCTGGTCGAAGTTTCTAAAAAGAAGCTCTCCAAGACCTTTAACAGATGTGATATCCCTGGTCAAAGTTTCTAAAAAGAAGCTCTCATAGACCTATAACAGATATGATATCCCTGGTCAAAGTTTCTATTAAGAAGCTTTCATAGACCTATAACAGATATGATATCACTAGTCCAAGTTTCTAAAAGGAAGCTCTCGATGGTTAAATCAACGAACCATCCTTGAATAGGTATGGTCTAATCCGTCGAAAAGATACGGATTAGTGGTTTCTCAATGGATTACCAAACCAAAAGTTCTGACCTCTAATATATAATTATCTGTACATAAGTGATGTATCTAACCTCTGTATCCTCGAGGTTAAGTGTGGAAGAGAACAGGTCACCTACAGCATTGACGGAGATCAACCTGACCCAGGGTTCTCCAAGTATACTCTGGATATCCAATCCTCGGAAGTCAATCCCAGCCCTGAACACCAAAGGTTTATATTCCAACCGTCGATCAGTCTCCTGACGTCGGTGAAAAGCTTAAAAATTTGAAACAATATTTATACCAATTACGAAAAGCTCCTTTTCCAAAAGACTTTTTGTCAATTTGGGGTAAAAAATATAATTCAGTTTTTGATAGGTTAGATTTAAACATGTTCTGGACCATACGCGACGGATCGAGGGACATTCAGTAAATTACAACATGTACTTGGGAAAGTTCATAAACTTCCTTGCTCAATGTATCACCTTTTCTCGACAGAACTTTCCAACCATACTCCAGCTCCAAGACGTGCATCTATCACTGTATCCCTCCAACCCTTGAGAACCTTAGGTCGACCACATAAATCTGGAACTTTGGATCTAAAAATAATATTTTTTAATTGCGCCTTATTTTGCGGTAAAATGTTTTTAACTCACCTAGTACATTGTATTCTAACTTTGGAGTCGACAGCCGACACATTTTCACAAGTGTCATGAGTAAAATCCAGCACTGCCAAACTAAATATTTAAATATGAATGGTTCAATTAATGCCTAATTGCCTCTCCAACTTAAACCAAATTATAAATGTTTGGATTTGCCAATAGAACAATGTCTTTTACGATAAAGTTTGCTTTTGTCTTCTTATGCACACTAGCCACATTTTTTCATGTTTTCTTTTCATTTTCATTTCCAAACTTATTTGCCGTATAGCACCTAATATATCCAACTCGGAAAAACAAATCAGAAATGAAGTCTAAAACTTTTCTATTCATTTTTTGTTTATTTTAAACAGAATTTACCTAATATCTCCAGTATTAGTTGAAGCAAGGACCCATGATCTGTTCTGATGTTTCTGAACCCGGATTCCTTGAACTAAACTGCAGGATTGGAACTCCAGGGGGTACTCCAGGTTCTGCCGGAGATTTCTTAAATCCCATACTCCCACACTCTCATCAGAGCAGGAGTAGAGATGGTTGGAGTGGAACTCTAGTCCTCGTAGATATATTTTTTCATCTAGTTCCCTTAATAGCTCAACACTTCCGGATCTAGAAACCAATATTAAGTCTAGAAATCAAACATAAATCAAGTAAATCTATATAATAAAACAAGACATTCATATATATGCTCCCTATGGCCGGCCAAACTGCTGGACCGAATGGGCTAAATTTTTTTGTAACACTCCTGGGTGGCGGGGAGGCAACGCCGGGCCCTATATAATAAAGCTATTTGTTCATATATATATTTGTATGTATTACATATTTATATATAGCTGGCCAAACTCCTGGACCGAATGAGCACCATTTGAGGGAATCCTAGAGTACCCTGGGGGAAACGTATGCATTTTTTTTAATTCGATTTTTAAAAATTCCACTGGCAACGCCGGGCACTTCAGCTAGTCGTTAATATGGCAATCAATCAAACAACAGAACAGTATTGTAATCCTATCAAATCCAAATCAAGTTTGAAGTAACCAACGGCTAAACTCGCTAAACAACGAATTAAACGGAATAACCGACCAACAAAATAACCAAACATCCAACCAGTAAATCATAGATTAATAACAATAGAGATAGAACACACGAGTTGTCTTTCAAGATTTAGGGTTTTTCGTTCACAATAACCTTTAGGCAGAAGCCCAAAGGAGGAACGTGTGAGCCGCGTTGAATTACAACACAGAGAGAGATCATGCGCATAACTCCTTTGGGCGCCTCGGGTTATTCTGAACGAAAACCCCCTAAATCTTGAAAAGACTACTTCTAGTGTCCTATCTGTTTTGTAATTATTCTATGCAGTAAATGATCAAACGAACCATGGTCTCTTCGTTCTCCTACCTAATATCAAGAATGCCGAAGGATTTTCTGCCTCCAATACTGAGCTTGTTGTTCCCAGGACCCTGAGCTAGAACTCCCCACGAGTAGGGTTTAACTCCGCTATCTATATACATCCTGAAATAAATGAATATCATTTAAGGTTGCAAATAAAACTTTCTTTTAATAGTATCTCAAGCTCAAATTATCAAAAACGTTTGATTCGTGGTAGTTAATACCAGAGGCTAAATCTAAAGAATTTGAACCCCGTCGCTGAACCACCAATAACCAGTTCCAATTGAGCGCCGGCTCAAATATCGAAACACTTAATAAATTTTCAGCTGAACCAGCCATGTTTTAACCGCGTCTTTAAATTCAAACTCAGTTCTAGTAATTTAAAGAAGGAATTACAACAAAATTTAAATAAAAGATTAAGTTCTAAAATTGAAGATTGATCATAATATAACCGCGAGACGGGATTAAGAAGTGTATACAAATGGTTAGATAAAAGTACCTTCGGTTTATTTTGTTGGATTCTAAATCTAGGATTGAAAGGTTTGAATTGATATCTAGCATACAGGACTGAGTAGTGCCAAGGAAGCACTGACCAATCCCACCCACACCACACGGAACACTTAAAACAAATGATTGATTTTTTTTTATTTTAACAGACGTTATAAAAGGTTCGATGGTTTTTTTTCTGAAATACCTTGTTGAATGTTCCAGAGAATCTTGGTTTCTTAGAAAATATGCAAAACCATTCTTGTATCGTGCACAAGTGATGCAACTACCGTCCCCTCTATCCAGGAGGTTTAAACTATAAATCCGGGAAAAGTTTAATCTGTCGTCAGTTGCGGAGAATTGTTCCGTTAAAATTGGAGGATTTCTGCTCTCAGGGTTGACATCTTCATGTGAGTTTGATCTTAAGTCTCCAGTGTTCAAAATTCCATCATTCCCTAATATTCAAAAATATAATTTCAAAATTTAAATTTTAATAAGAGAAGATTTGAAAAAAGGCTTATGTCCCAATTTTTATTAAAATATGAAAATTAATGTTTTTATTCTCTAGAAATGAATATTCCCTGTATAGTAAATCTGACTTTCGGTCACCCTAACGCAAGAACCATTAAAGAAGTTCTCTTTCCCGTAGTGCTCAACAGGAAACAGATTATTTCTTTCCTTAAACTCTTTAAACGAGAATTCTTTCTTCTGTCTCCGAGATCGTCTTTTCTCAATATACAAGACGTTCCTGTTTTCAGCGCTTCTTTTTACGCGTCGCAATTTCTCCGCCAAATAATGATCGTTATTAAAATAGTAGTTATCAGTCTCTCGTCTGGACGGATCGATACGATCACGTCTCCATTCTTCTTTCATAGGATCAGGTTGGATTCTAGGAGCTGAGATAGGGAGCAGAGGAGTTGATTGAGTATAGGGGTAGGCTGCATGGATTCGACCCCCACACTCCATATACAGATCCCCATCATCGTTTACTAAATAGGAATACTTGTAACTTGGGAATAACGATTAAAGGAAGAGACTGGCTAGACGGTAGACATGTTAGTTGTATAATTGTTCAGCAAGGGCTAGACAGTAGACATGTTAGTTGTATAATTGTTAAGCAAGGGCTAGACAGTAGACATGTTAGTTGTTTAATTGTTAAGCAAGGGCCAGACAGTTATAGACATTTTAGTTGTATAATTGTTCAGCAAGGGCTAGACGGTAGACATGTTAGTTGTATAATTGTCAAGCAAGGGCTAGACAGTAGACATGTTAGTTGTATAATTGTTAAGCAAGGGCTAGACAGTAGACATGTTAGTTGTATAATTGTTAAGCAAGGGCTAGACAGTAGACATGTTAGTTGTATAATTGTTAAGCAAGGGCGATACAGTTATAGACATTTTAGTTGTATAATTGTTCAGAAAGGGCTAGACAGTAGACATGTTAGTTGTATAATTGTTAAGCAAGGGCTAGACAGTTATAGACATGTTTGTTGTATAATTGTTAAGCAAGGGCTAGACAGTAGTATAGACATTTTAGTTGTATAATTGTTCAGAAAGGGCTAGACAGTAGACATGTTAGTTGTTTAATTGTTAAGCAAGGGCTAGACAGTAGACATGTTAGTTGTATAATTGTTAAGCAAGGGCTAGACAGTAGACATGCTAGTTGTTTAATTGTTAAGCAAAAGCGCAAATACAATCTTAAAAATCCTCATAGATTGTCCATTCTGGAGAGATGATTTTGATAATCGTTTTTTTTTTAATTATTCAATAGAAAGCTAGTGAAGAAATCAATGGTAGCCAGTCTCTCACTTAAAAACGAGAAACATAAGCTGTTAACTGATCACCTAGTTTTTAAAGATCCATTAAATAAGCAAAGTAGGTAGTAATTCCACATTAAAAAATAAATATTTCGTCTGAGATGACCAGAGTTTGCCACGAAGATATCGACATAATTTAAGTCACTTTAGTTCAAGTGTCGGCATCGAAAATTCAATTTGATCCAAGAAAAGTCAACGTAGCTTATTTTATTTCTTTTTTATGAACTAAACACCAAGCAAAATGTCACGACAAATAAACAAGTGTCAATTTTCTATTTCATTGCTATCATTTTAGGTTTATGTGACTCTATCCGTAAAAATCAAAGATTGATTTGGAGTAGGTTAAAATTGAAGCAATTTTACACTCAGACTAACCTGCATACGGTATTATTCTGCTCTCATGAGAACACACAGACATTTTTCTTCTGTAAATAAAATTTATTATTTAGGGATCCAGAGACGACAGAAGAGGACATTAACCAAAAGCTTCTCCCTCCCCTCCCAGAACGTAAACCAAGTTTCAGCAAATTTTTCTGGAAGGTAACATCATATTCTTTGTGTAGACCAATGTTTTTAAAAGAACTTAAAGCGTAATTTCAAGTGACCCTCCGTGCAAAGGTGACAATGACCGATTCACAACGGTACCATTGAAACCTTTTTCTGGTCATAAGTTAAAATTCTAGACATCCCTCAATGGTTTCCTGCAGTAGAATGCGCAAGATACTTAAGTAGAGAAATCACAATTAAAAATCATCCGTTTTCAAAATTATTAACTTTGAAATCTAATTCATACTTGACCAGACAAAGCTTTTAAGGGTACAGTTGTTAATAGGATATTGACATCTTTGAAAAAATAGTCATTTGAAATTACGCTCACAGTTCCTTTAAAATTATTTTATCTTCAGGAATATGCAGAATTCGGAGAAATTACATTTTCCACCGAAAGAAAAACCAACGCATTCAGATCTCCCTGAAGAATTAGGAACAATAAATATCACCGAGAATAGTGAAAGGATATGGCCTAATTGGAGACACAGTGGAGAATGGAATAATATTGAACTAATCGACGATGAGAATATTCCAAATTTTAGACATGATGGGAATTGGAATATTCCAAATTTAAGACACAGCGGCGATTGGAATATTCCAAATACAAACATTATTACCGAAAAGGAGTTGAACAATACAAGAGCAGTATTGAGATCGCTGGATTCGAAAAATCCACAAAATCATTCATATGGAATTCCCACTCTTTTTGTTTGTGGGATATTATCTGGAATTTTATCATTAATTTGCTATGTTATAACTCATAAATTATCCATCAGGTAAGAAAAAAAAACTTTTTGGTTTAAACAAACGTTTTGTTTAATTTTTTTATTTAGCGAGGATTTCCCGAGCGTTCATAATTCAGATATATCAACAAATGAAGGTTAGTCTTGTGCTCAACATTTACGACACAAATAATAAATATATTCCTTAAATATAAAATCTTGTTTAGATTTATATAATTATAAAATACTGGTATTGATGAATGTAATGAAAACCAAACTTAATGCCGGACTGGAATTCTCTAATCAGCATTCTTGGATTCTAGGTAAAAATAAATTCAAAGAAAGAACACTGTTTTTTAATATGAATAAATGCGCAACAAAATTTGCATCTCTTCTCTAGGTCCCATATTCTGTGGAAGTGCAGTGACTCTTGTAACCTGGAGAGTCCTGAACCCTGAGGAGAAGCGTCCTGTCCGTCCTAGTCTGCAACTTGGAAAGTTTGTTTCGGTCCTAAACGGAGTAGTTATCGGACTCTACCTTGTATCTTACAATCTCAAGATAAATCTGTGATAGAAAAGAATGTAAAAAACAAAAATATCTCAGAATCACGATCTAATAACATATGTTTCTCTCTTAGGTTTATAAAGAAATAATATTTATTTTCTTAAATATGGAAAAATAATACATTCTGCAATTATTAAATAAAGTATAAAAGCAAGCTAAAAAATTGTCAATGACCCCAACTAATTATTATACTTGTTAATCTACAAAATTAATCTTTTTACTCCCTGTATTTCAACCGTTTATCAATTAAAAAATTCTTCTCTTTTAAGTCAATTTTTAAAGCCCTGGGACAGAGCCGAGCGGATGAGCTTTCTTCTTTGAACTTAATATTTAATCTAGTTTAATCTTCTTCTTCTGATTTTTGATCTTCATCATCAGTGCTTTCTTCTTCCGAAGAATCCTGTACAGGCCTGAAAACATTAATACCGTATTTATCTACGTAATTCAGAGGGACTAAGTTCATATCCCCAACATGGCACAAACTGTCAATTCTGGGTCAGAGTAAGGTTTTAAACGGTTTCCGCAGGACCGCAAAAAAACATATTAGAAAAAGGATTAAAAAACATGCGGAAAGCAACGTATTAAAAACAGGACCAATAGTTTTCCAAGAACCTAATTTGGATTTGATCTACATCGCTAACTACCGGTTTAAAAAAGCACCTATTTAAAGTTAAAGATTAAGGAAAGATTTGAATCGGCAATTTTAATTTGAACCGGCGGTTTGACATTTACAATTCATTAAACTTGGTCCCGGATTTTCAGTCCCTGATCAGAAGTATTTGAAAAAATAGATATATTTGAAAAAGGGATGTAAGTTGACATCACGTTTACAATCCCTGAAGACAAACCTGTTTGTATTCTTAAACAAATCATCATCATCCTCTTCACTATCCTCTGAACCTCTTTCCTCCAGGTCTAAGCTCTTCAGATCATCTGTGGGTGGAGCAGTTTCAAACTTGTCCGGCCACGCCCCCTGTGACTTTATATACTTGATCTGCTCCTTGTACAGGATGTTTGATATCTCCCCTTTCACCTGAAAATATGAAATCACTAATGGAAAGTTTACTAGTGTTTAGAACAGTGCTCAGGGATCCGGATCCGTTCGATCGCAAGATTTCGGCTTCCTGAATCCGGATCCGCAAAAATATGCGGAACTACGGATCCGGATCCAAGGGGCAAAATATCAACAAAAACTGCAAAAAAAACTTTCTTACACTTAAGACCCACATCTGTACTTAAAAAAAAGAGAGATTATAAAAAATTCCTGATTTCTAAATGATCCATGAAGTTTTAGCGTGAACAAAGCGAAAAAAATCAGACAAAAAGTTTGTAAATTCAGCTTGCTAAAAAATTTAGTAAATGATCTCAAAGAAATGACCTAGAACCGGATACAGATCCGGATCCATTTTTTCAGTGCGGATCCAGGATCTGGATTCGAATCCGCATAAAACTCTAATGGATCCTAAGCAATGGTTAGAATATGGAAACGATTGAACTAAAACAGCAATTCATTTTAATTTATTTAAATAATTACGCTAACTCGTTAATTAAGAAATTTAAAATATTTCCATAAACCGTCCTTGTTTGTTCGGAATGTTTTTTTAATGGTTACTTTGAAGTAAATGAAAGTTTGTAAGTAAATAGTTTTAAACGTGGTGGAAAAAAGGTTGTCGTTTTAAGTTCATAAATTTAATCCCCCCCCCCCCCCATTTACCGTTAAAAATTAAATCTAGAAAACATACACCCGAAAAAAAAGTATTACACTACCTTATCCCCTTCAGATATGGTGGAGACGAGAACATAATCTCCTCTCTTGATCCACACATTCTTCCTGATATATTCAAGTATTCTCTTAAAATTGTTACATGTTTTGGGAAATTAACTCATTTGCATTATTTGAGGTAAAATTGCTTTCCGGATTTTTAGCTTTTATCTCAGAACTCTGATTTTTTAATTTGCATTACAGATTTTAGCCTTGTCACAGATTTAGAACAGCGCATTAAAAATCTGAAGATATCCTGTAAAAACCCTTTTTAGGCATAGGCTTTAGTTTTACTATATTCAATAAATTCTTGGGACAGCTACCGTTGAAAAACGTTGAAAACGTTGACTGTATATATATATATACTAGGGTTTAAGGGCGCTTCGCGCCCATCTTCTATTTAAATTGTGAACATGTTCTTTTTCCTAACATTTTAAAACAAAGAAGAAAAACATTTTGCAGATTAAAAAAAAAATCGCGGATTTTCAAGATTTTTTTTTTACAAAATTAAAAACCTTATAACACATTTTTTTCGTAATAAATTATCATTATTTATCATTAAAAACCTTCCCTGGGATAACGCGAGGTGCCCCAAAAAATTTGGGCCCGATCGGTTCAGCTTCGGGAGACCCACGGGAATATTCATAACTTGGTTTAGAGATTTTTAAAGTCAAAAATGGCGAAAAGTTAGTTTCCCGGTGAAATCGTTCAAGTGCGGGTAAACGGCGGGAGTAACTTTTAATAACCTTGACAGCGCTAGGTTCCCAAGCTAGTAAATCTATAAAGTTTATAATATAATGTTCGATTACACGCTTACCTGAATTTGGTCGGCATAGATACCAAGAACGCTGTTCCATCCTGATCCTTGACTTCATGAAGGTTGTTCCCACGACCAGCTGAAACCTGAACTATCGTCTCATCTTCTCTTGGTAACCTTGACAGAGAACAAGGTTAAATTCAACGTACACCAGAAGCAGAACTACATATAGTGCCGATAACATGATAACTGATTTTGATTTTATCTATGTAAATGATTTTTGTCTACAGATTACCAAATACCCTGTATANCCCCCCGGAAAATATCGCAAGAACATTTTTTAATTATAAAACGAAGTATATTTTAAAAAATTGTGTATTAACAATTACATAGTTTTCCTACAGTTCGGCGATTGGATCAGTGCAGAAATATATATCTTTTAAGGAATATTTAAAAACAATATTCAGACATACTATAGTAAAGATTTTTACTCTCTGAAGTTCATATATTTGTTCCCAGATTAAGCAATACGAATTCCCTTTATATTCTATATAATAAAGCTCTTCCCTCAAATAATCATTTGTATATGTGTTAGCTATTGCTGGCCAAACGGCTGGACCGAATGGGTTGAAATTTTTGAGGAAACCCTTCAGTGCCCTGTGGGGAACTGAGGTAAAAAATTCAAAATAATTTGTTACAAAATTCAACGGGCAACGCCGGGCACTTCAGCTAGTAACCAATATGGAAGGGATATTTATATATATTTATATTTATATAAAAAATTACCCACAAAAGATAAGACTGACAATTTATAAGATAAAATTAAGTCTGTCTTGAATATATTCTTCCAGTAGCTTATTTAATGATTTAGAAAGAAAGTTAACAGGAAATTTAACTTCGTTCAGTCTCATAGTTGAAAAAAAATATTTATGACGTTTCATTTTAACTAATTACATATTTTTTAAATCTTCAAAAAGGGTTCCCGCTTTCTGAAATCTTTATATTAGTTGTTCAACGAATTTTGACTACTAAGGATCGTCATGCGGCGTGAAATATTATGCTAAGTATAATTCTTTATTAATAAAATGTGAAGTTTTATTATATATATAAATATTTAGTATTTTCATTTTGTACATGGATCTTAAATGACATGAATCTTAAATGTAAGACATGTGGCCGCAGCGCCGTACGATATATATATATATATATTTGACCGAAACGCTTTATAATATTGGTTTCTATGCGTCAGTACCTGAATTCTTCGATAACCTCCCTTGTCACGTGTTTCCTTTTCGTAGCCTTAGACATGATACATTCTTTAATTTAGTAACTAATCTGAAATAATATCAATTATGTAATTACTTGTAAATCAAAATCCAATAAAAAAATTTGCTTTAGTAAACTTATTGCGCAATACTACCCATGTGGGAGCTGAAATAATAAACAGACCGAATGGATTTAGTTGCAACTCTGAAACTTGCTGCGATTCTTGTTCAGGAACACACTGAACGACATTAAAAACAATCCACAAGAAAAAAAAATTATTATCAACATGTGTGTTGCCTTAAGACTTGAATATATGAGGAGCTCGCCTTTGGTGCTAAAAAATGACCGTTTATCAGTCAATTAACATCAAAAGCTTGGCACACCTAATCTCGAGGATTCCACTTCTACCGTAGACATGAACAAGGAGTTTGAAGAAATTAGGGGTCACATTAACATAAAATGAAACATCAGAGAAATTACAGTTAAAAAAGACTTTCTTTAGAGCATTATACAAGGTGTATTTAGGAGCAAGGCTTCTCAAGTTAGTGATTAATTAGCGCAATACATTTAAACTGGACTTTAGACTCACGGAATGAATACTCGGATTGTTGAGATCTGTTCGTGTTTAATCATCATCCTGGTCCATGGGTCCGGAGGTATCTCTTGGTTTGGGTCCACCGGCACGTTTCGCCATAATAATCTGGTCCACTCTTAGAACAGTGCATGCGGCGCTGGTGGCGTATTTCAAGGCCCATTTCTTGGCAAGAAGGAGGTCAAACACACCGCTCTCAGCACAATCCTAATATTTTAAATATTTTAAAGCCATAAATCAAGATAAGTATATAACAAAATAAAATAGGGAAACAGAAGTCTGCAGACAATTCAAAGAAAACATTTCATGGTCACATCACATCACATCACATCACATCACATCACATCACATCACATCACATCACATCACATCACATCACATCACATCACATCACATCACATCACATCACATCACATCACATCACAAATCATGGAAGGTTAGGAATTGCTTAAACACTAGACAATGCATTTCCTTCCCAATATTATCTTTCTTATTACATGTTTATACACGGCTATTTTTAAGAAATGCGAAAGCCGGAAACACACTTTTCTCGTCTGTTAAATGTGCCATCATTTTATGTCCAATCTATGAGAGGTTCTACCTACAATATTGTTATGAATAATATGTCCCAAAACCGAAAAAAAATATTGAATTCAATAATAACATACCTTGACATCTCCGCTCTCTCCTTCGATGTCGAACCCGACATTTTTCTTTCCCTCGCTGTGAGCTGCGTAGAGTTTACTGATTACTTCTTTAGGTTTAACTCCGCTGTTCTCTGCCAGGACTCGGGGAATAACTTCAAGAGCTTGAGCAAACCTTTACAGATACTTATTGGACAAAAATATCATATAACTTTTAAATAATATCGTTCAAAAAGATACAATTTTTTTATATTGTTAATCTTTTTACATATGTATTTATAATTTTATTTATAATAAAATTGATAAGAACAATGAATATGACGATTTCTTGAATTTTTTCATTTTTTTTGATAATCAATTCAGCTAATCTAAGGTTTAGTAAGAAATCTTTGAAAGTAAGGTAAATAAACTGAGCTTAAAACTTTAGAATGGTAGGTATCAAGATTAATGCTTAACTCCTAATTTTACTAAACCCAAAATGTATATTAAAATGCATTCGATATCCAAGAAAGAAGTTAAATTAAACCAATCAGGGTGTTATGTTATGTTGTACACTTTAACTTTTGAAAAACCGATTTTGATTTCTGGTGTTGATGGGGTCATATCTATTGAACTAAACATCGATTAAAAGAACGTAAGTTTTGGATTAATGTTTAATGTTTATTAAGAATAACGTTGAAAATGACACTAAAATATGTTTTTTTTTAATAAGTTTATATTTACAAGATTAAATTTATATTTGTTAAAATGCTATAAAAGCCGGCTTGTGAACAACTAACTTTAATTCAATCAGATATTAGTCCAATCGATATAGCATTGTATCTGTAATTGTTATAAAACGTAACTTTTATACGTTAAAATATCCAAACAAGAGGATTAAGAAGAAAATCAAAAGTGTGTACATTGGATAATTAGATTAAGCGATCGTGATTAAGGATATCTCATTCTAAAGTTTTCAGCTCTGATTACTATTATCAAAATCTATTTTTTTTAATACTCAATTCAGACTATGAAGTATATTAATTAGTTTTAAGTATCACCTTCAGCTAGCAAAAATTTTGGACTCTGAAAATCAGGGTTTAAGCCGAGTTAGAAGTTCTTGTATTTAAAAAAAATCCCTATGGTTTGTGACAAAAACTTAATTATGCTGCAAGTACGGTTCCAACAAGATATTTTCAACTATAAACGTTGATTAAAAATGGAGTTCAACTTACTTTCCAATACTGTACTGTTCAAGTCCAGGATGGGTTTCTCCCCAAGCAGCCAGCTGTTGAGCTAGTTCTATCTCAGTAGCTCCTCCACCAGCAGTTAATCTTCCATCCTGGAACATGTTACCATCAGCATATCGTCGACAAGATTAAACATGTCTAGATGATCTTTCCCAACTTGTGCCCAAAATTAAAAACTGTTGAAGGAGCTAACATTAATAATTGTTTAAGAAATATGGAAATAATTATTAGATAAATACAGCTTCAATCTTCATCTCGGATTTAATAGAATTCCCTTCCCTTTACAAGTTTGACCTGTAAATATTTCTTCACTATCCTTCCCGGGATGTTTTGTAGGTAAAACTGGTCTTAGAGACCATTAGCACTGGAATAGGGTAAGGTAGTCATACAATTATAGTGATTCTAGCTTCTGTACCTTGCCTACGTCATAACCAGGTGTGATGCCTGGAGAGAACTCGTACCTGCAGCGAACTCTGGTTATGCTACGCGGCAAAGCGCAAGATTCTTTAAACATAAACAAACACTTGGATTCATGGAACTGATTTGTTTCAGTTCTAATATCGGGATTTTAGACCCCCCCCTGCCCTATTATGCTTGCACACGCAATTTCAACTTTTCTATTTTTTCTTGTTTGTTTACATTTCAAGAAACTTGCGCTTTGCCGCGTGCATAACCAGAGTTCGCTGCAGGTACGAGTTCTCTGCAGGCATGACACCGGTACAGGACACAGAGGCTAGGGCACTGGTCCTAGAATTGTCTTGGGATAAGATCTGTTGTAGGCGAGTATACGCATGATTGTGATTGGCATTTCTTTGGCGCACTGGGAATTCTCCACCAATAGTTTAATTCAGTGACGTCAGACACGTACAGATCTTCCACGTACCGTATCGACCTTTCATTCGTGCGCGAGCCTCGTTGCGATACCCAATTCCAGTACCCATGTTAGAGACCCTTGATGGTAAAAAACAATTACCAAAATTTCCCTTTAGTTTAAAGTAATATTTTCAACTTACTTTACACAATCCCTTGAAGACGTTAACTCCATCATCGATAGCTCTCTCAATATCATCCATATAATTGTCTGTAGAGCCTCGGACAACAACTGTTACAACTCGGGATTCTTTAGTTCCAACCCTAAATATAAAAAAAATAAAAAAATTTCGTTTATACTTTCGCACCCCATTGTTTTTTCTAAATAGCTATTATCTCTCATAGATAACTTATTAAAAGCATATTTCATGATAAACTAACCTATTATCACTCATAAATAACTTATTAAAAGCATAATTCATGATAAACTAACCTATTACCACTCATGAATAACTTATTAAAAGCATAATTCATGATAAACTAACCTATTATCTTTCATAAATAACCTTTTATCACTCATAATAACTTTTTAACAGCATAATTCATGATAAACTAACCTATTATCTTTCATAAATAACCTTTTATCACTCATAATAACTTTTTAACAGCATAATTCATGATAAACTAACCTGAAGACAACAATCTCAGTATCTCCAAGTTCATCGATCTGAACAGACTCTGCCATACCTAGTTCCTCAGCAGTAGGGGCAGTCATCCTTGGTAGAGCAGTTGCTCCTAAGCATTTATTAACATGTAAAATAACTTATAACTTGAAAGGTGTTATCTTAATTTTTTACCCGGTAATTTAAACAATACCCGACGAAAAATTGATAAAAGTATTATTGTTATAATATTAAAAGAAAAACCGTGGAATAATTTTGATTATTCACCGAAAAATTGATAAAAGTGACGTTAATTTTATTGTTAGTTTTGAAAAATGTGAGTTTTACCTGTAGCTCTTGCGAGTCTTCTGATATCCCACTTGGACATAAGTCTAACAGCCATCATTCCGTATTTGTTAATGTAATGCATAGCCATATCTCCAATCTTGCCTCCGGAGACAATAACTCCGACACCGGCGTCAGCGATGGCCTTGATCTGGTTCTCCAGCTGTGACTCCTCCCCCCTGCTAAAGTTGGTGAGCTCCTCAGCGGTCTTGATCAGAACAGTTCCCTTGGTCTCGGTCTGTAGAGCGTCTACGGGGCAAGTGTAAACAGCAACCTAGAGATTTTATCATTCTTAAGCGTTCTTGTTTTTGGATGTAAATTTATTTACAAAAGTGACAGTGATACATACTTTGCAATTCTCTTTTTTGGTAACTGTAGATTCTACGACTCTTCTGAAAACCATTCCCTGTACGACTGTTGAGCTAAGGAGACCTCCTCCAACAATCTTGCAGATTCTTACATTGTCCACATTGAAGGTCGTCTTCTCAGGGAGTATAGAGATACAAGCCTAAACAATAATAGTACAGCATGATTTCCCCATAAGATTGCAAATAATTTTATTACAAATACTGAAAATTTAGGACATTTGAAAGTAAAATAGGAAAAAAGAATTTGACTTTTTTACAGTCTAACAACGTATTAGTTGGTACAGAAACAAAATATAAAAATAATAAGCGAAGTTGCATATTGCACATACAAGATATTCAACATTCGTTGCTTTCGATTGAATTATTGAATTTTTCATTTTTTCCTCGCCAATTTAATTAGTGCAAGTAATTATTAGTGTAATTTATAAAACAGTGCACTTAAATCCTACCTTTGTGATAAGATCTGCCAAATAGTCTTCGCTTCCGTACTGTTTGGACATAACTGCAGATCTAGACAAAGTATTGAGTGAGTAAAACTTTCACAATTGCACTTAATTTGATGCTAAATACGTAGTTTAAAGGACACCGGCACTACTTCAACGAGCTTTTAGTTCGAAAATATGTTATGATTATGATAATCTGTTTATAGTCCACATTCATTTTATTATAATAATTTGTAATTCCAAGATTAGACTAAAAAAATATTTATTTTGTTAAAATTGAACATTCCGAAAAATCAACGGCCGCAGAATTTCTTCTGGAATTTTATCAATCCTCATGCATCTATTTATCAATCTCTAATTACTTAACATTTGAGTTTGTCATTAAAACATGTTTAAGAAAACAAAATATTACACGCACCTAATAGCCTTCTCAACCTCCTTGTGGTCCTTGGTATTCTTAACCTCGGCACAAGCCAGGGTCTCCAGAACCTCCAGAGCTTTCTCTAGAGCTCTCTCATATCCATCAGCAACCTCGGTGGGTTTCAAACCCATCCTTCAAATAATATAATTATTTATTTGGACATTCTTTAATTTTTAAGAATAGGGGGGGGAGGGGGTAGGACAAAGCTGAGAAAGATGTGAAAATACCAGACACATTTTTTCACTTTAAAAAAAATAAATTTAGTTTTTGAATTATTTTTGCAGTTTCTTAAAGGTCGTTCATTCAATATAAATAATATACTGGCTTTTTGGGCCGAGATTGGTAACACTTGATGTTGCGGCTTTTCTACATAGACTCTTGGCTGTATAAATTTTTGATAAGGCAAGAAAGCTTTTTATGAATAAAAGCATAGAAGAAAAATCGTTGCTTTAAAATTTGAGTATTTAAAAAAAATTTACTATTAATAACAATCGTTAACTGACCTTATCAGATCTTCTGACTCCTTTAAGAGTTGACCGGCCAAAATAATGACAAAGTTTGTGGCATCTCCGACCTCGTTCTCCTGCATCTGGGAACCGAGGATAACCATCTTGGCGGCGGGGTGCTCAACCTCCAATTCCCTGCAAAAGTTAAAAAATTATTACTGGAGAAAAAATACATGAATCAAGCATTAAAATATCAATTGTGGAACTACTGTTCTAAACCTTTACGTCAACTTTAAGTCCGAGGGATCCCCCCCCCCCCCTCCCTTGTTGATGCAGAGTTTTATCCCCACTTCGGTAGTATTTCATTTTAAACGTATGAAACAATAATTTTAGCCTGAAGAGTGAAGGGACATGTAAATTAATTATTCAGTGCTTAGGATCCGGATCCGTTGAACCCGCAAGATTTTGGCTTCCTGGATCCGGATCCAAGGAGTAAAATGTCAACCAAAAACTGAAAAAAATAACTTTTTTACAAGTTTAACCCAAATCTGAACTTTGAAAAAGTGAGATTATAAAAATTTCCTCATTTTTTGAACTGTTCATCAAGTTTTAAGAGAAAAATAGGCGGAAAAAAATAAACAAAATTTGAAAATTTTTTTTGTTAAAAAAATTAGTATATCTTTAAGAAATGACCTGGATCCGGATCCGGATTTGGATCCGGATCCTTTTTCTCCAGTGCAGATTCAGGATCCGGATCCGCATCAAAATTAAATGGATACTAAGCACTGATTAATTTTAGGGTAAAAAGTGCGATAAAAACAGAACCAAAATATAAAAAGTGATGAGGGGGGGGGAAGGGGGGGGGGGTGATATTAAATAACAAGTTTTATTTCTATATTTTTTTTTAATTATAATATAATAACTGTGACCATTTGCCCACGATGGAAACACGGTTCACTGATCAAACCTGATAATTGTGGCAGCATCGTTTGTGACAAACAACTTCTCCAGATGATTGATCACCATCTTATTCATCCCGTTGGGTCCATAACAGGTCTGCACTGTTTCTGCAAATTCCTTGCAAGCGCCAATATTTCTAAAACACAAATAAACATCATAAAATACAAAAATCATTAACCCTATTTTTGTCTAATATAGATGGGGTTGAGTGGGTAGGGGCTCTAGAAATGGATTGGAGAAAGCAGGTTTTTGCTTAAAATGACAAATGAAGATACTGTTTTTAGTTTTTTAAATTAATCTAGATAATACTTGAGTATATAATTGTTACTATGAATAAAGGGGCTCTGTCCTAGTATACGATTTTTGGAATCGTAGATAAACATTATACAGGGTTACCCATAAAGGCTGAGCCTGTAAAGACGACCTGAAACTCGAGATATGATAATCCAAGATGAAAACAAGATTTAAATTCAAAGCAATTGTAATTCTGTGGGAAAAGAGGGTATCCTAAGGTCTCTGAAGATCTAAAAATCTATCTCTAGAAAATTACCAACGATTTCAGTCCACTGCCATGATTATATTTACTTTAAAGCTTATTTAAAGGCAAAGCAAGAAAAATGATGACAGTTGGGTAATTTTATAAAGAACGATTTTTGGACCCCCCGCTTCCTCTCCCCCTCCTATCAATTTTGTACATGGATTTCATATGTAACACATAGTTATAATGATCATGTCGCCGCAGCGCCCGGCCACATAGCCTGTCCTAGCCGCGGCGTTCAGTCCACTAGCCTGTCCTAACCGTAGCGCTCTTTGCCTAATCTAACCCTAAAATAATGAAGAAAAAAACAATACTAACTTTGCTGAAAATAAGTGGTCATGTGCAAAATTTATAAGAGGGGGTGGGGTCCAAGAATCGTATACTAGGACGGACCCAACAGTTGCAGAGAACCACGAATTATGAGGACACAGACAATATATATTCCATACAGTCGTCTTTCCAGTCTCATCCTTAATGCGTAATACTGTATCTTTGTGTACAACGAACCTTATCACAGCTTCTTCCAGTCCAGAGAAGAACCTGGCTCCATCCTTCATCATGGAGGAGAAACCAGGAGCGCGGGGTACGTGCATAGCCATTGTCCAGTTCTTTGTATATTCTATAGAAAAAACCTAGTTATCACAAAGCTGAACGAAAACTCCCATTGAATTCTTTGAATCATGCCGAAGAATGTATGATCAAGATATTCAGATATTTTTCATTAAAATCACAACACACACATTCAGCAATTTCAGCTATTATAGTATATAAGATTATTTAACAAAGAAAATAAATAATTCATTAAATTGTTAAATCAATAATTGTAAAAATTTCTGAAAATAAAATAAATAGCCGGTGTTCCGAATATCTGGATGTTTCCAGCACGTTCCATGGAGGGTGGAATGCAACAATGACTAATAAGAACATATCAGCAGACATTATTCGTATAAGGTTTGAAATATTGGAATCGGAATCCGACTTCTAACTACTTTTTGAACCTTTGTCTGATGAGTCTGATCAAGGATGAATTGATATATTCCTATTTCTGTATAGACTACTCTTTAAACCTTTGTCTGATCGAGGATGTATTGATATATTCCTATTTCTTTATAGACTTCTCTTTAAACCTTTGTCTGATTAAAGATGAATTAATATATTCTTATTCCTCTAGACTATAACTCTTTAAACCTTTGTCTGATCATAGAAGTATTGATATATTCTTATTTCTCTATAGACTACTCTTTAAACCTTTGTCTGATCAAAGATGAATTAATATATTCTTGTTCCTCTAGACTATAACTCTTTAAACCTTTGTCTGATCAAGGATGTATTGATATATTCCTATTTCTCTATAATCTACTCTTTAAACCTTGTCTGATCAAGGATGAATTGAGGTATTTTTATTTCTCTATAGACTACTCTTTAAACCTTTGTCTGATCATAGAAGTATTGATATATTCTTATTTCTCTATAGACTACTATTTAAACCTTTGTCTGATCAAGGATGTATTGATATATTCTTATATCTCTATAGGCTACTTTTTTAACCTTTGACTGATCAAGGATGAATTAATATATTCTTATTCCTCTATAGACTACTCTTTAAACCTTTGTCTGATCAAGGATGTATTGATATATTCTTATTTCTCTTTAAACCTTTGTCTACTCAAGGATGAATTGAGGTATTCTTATTTTTTAGACTACTCTTTAAACCTTTGTCTGATCAAGGATGAATTGAGGTATTCTTATTTCTCTATAGGCTACTCTTTAAACCTTTGTCTGATCAAGGATGAATTGATTTATTATGTGAACAGACACTTCGAAAGATGCTTAAACTCTGAAATTCTTCTGAACTTAGGTCGGGTTTGGTCTCCCTCCCCCTGTACATCCTTGGAATCATCTCTGGATTGTTTAGCAGACTGACCCATCCAACATTTCAGAACAAAACCCTTCAGCTGAAAACTGAAATTTTTCCATTCATATTTATCCTTTAAACTTTGTTTTACAGGATCTTATATTTTGATTTTGGTTTCAAAAATAACTCTAAAATTAATACCTAAAATGGCCATCCTAGAATATCTCTGGAAAAAAATAAACGAAATAAATTAACAATTTGATCCTGTTGAACAATAATTTTCCTTGTGCATGTTGGTTTTTTTTCACAAAAATACAAAATAGTGAAAATAAAAAATAATTTTGAACTATTAAAAAAAATATTATAAACTTCCTAAATAGTACAAAAAACTGTGCTCTATTTTAAAACTTTGAGAGGGCGGACTGGCCTACCTTTTAAACCTTTGGCTGATCAAGGATAAATAGAGATATCCTCATTTTTAACGTTCAAATCATCGACTTTATTCAATTATGGTTTTTATGCTGCTAAGACGATTGAATGAAGTTTCTAATTATTACTCCGATTAAGGTTCAAAGGGTACAATGTGAAATGGAGGGTGACATAAAATTACAAATAATTACTAAAAAATGATTTATTACACCAAACAATGCATTCATTCGAAATCACAGATATTTCACGGAGTTGGGCAAAACGTAGTGTATAAGTATATTTATATTTAGATTTGATTCTTGATCAGTGCATCAGGGACAAAGAAAGGACTAGAGGCTTAGTTAAACTTGCAGTTGGAGAAATCCATCTCTGGATGCTGAGCCATGAATGCTTTGAGAGTATCTTGCTTCTTCTGTTCATCACTTGTAGGTTTACCCATCTCCTAAACAATAATAAATAATTTCCATCAGGTAAAAATACTTAAAGTTACAGAGTGTCTCAATAAACAAGGGATTTCAGAGACGACTTGAAAATCGTTTTTGATTTCCGATAGCTGAAAAAAGACACGAGTTGTCAAATAAAGACTCAACGTCTTCTGAGCTTTTGTAAACTTGCTCTTGTCTTCTTTGCATTTTAAAATTGATGGAGATATTAAACATTTTAAAGATTTCGTTGTGATTTAATAAAATTTTGACAGATATCCTAATATCTCCCGTCAATTTTGAAGATGCAAATATAATAGACTAAATTTTGGAATTTGGAGCTGTTTTGATTATTAACTGTCTTAACTGGAATTATAAAAAAATAGTGTTCACGTAGTAATACCACGCGAAATGCAGACAATATAGAAGTAGTCACTTAAGTCCCCTGTTTGTTTGGACACCCTGTACAAGAAGAGTCATGTCTCTAAACCAAACTAAATAACTGGGTTTTAGAAAACATTAATTTGCGCCAAAGTTCCACCGATGCCAAAAAGCAATATTTTTTATTGTCAACTGCCAATCTGTTAATTGTCTAATTACGGTTATAAACAGTGGTAACCAGAAAACAGTAGAATAGAATGATTGTCGTCTTCACTATTTTTTTTTATTAAAAAATGGGTGTCGTTTCGTTTGCACTAATGATTGATCGGACTAACGTACATTCGCGCTAACGTCTTATTTGAGGGTTAGGTTAGGTTTAGACAATTTCTGGGCCGAGCACTGCGACTTGGACAGGCTAGGAGGCCGAGCGCCGCGGCTAGGACAGCTGCTAGGGGGCCGGGCGCTGGGGCCACAAGTGTTACTGATCAGCTGACTTTAGTGGAAAAGTACGTTAGTTCAATCGGACATTAGTGCAAACGATATAGCATCAAAAACTGTCGGGAAAATTAAGTTCTTAAAACATAACTCAGGATAAGAATGAAGAAAAAAGACGAAAATCCTTCCACTGAGTTCTAGCTAAGACTGTATACAATATTTTCCAGGCTGTAGGGGGGGGGGGGTTGTTTCAATTATACCCTAGAAGGAAACCTTACCTTCTCTAAGTTAATTAGTACACATTTTTTATCCTCTAGAACCCAGGCACTCTCCTCCCTCTTGATCTCCTTGAGAAGATCTCCATCAATTATAAACGGTTTCCCGCGTATTCCAACCTTCAGATGCTTCTTCTCTATTTCTATAATTAAATCCTTCGCCTGAAAATAAAATAAAATAACCGTATTGTTAACATGGTTTTAAACGACTCATGACTTAAGTGCGATCAACCAATAGAATGCCTGTGTTTCTCTATTTTAATATCAAAAACTTGTAGCCAACACTCGTAGATTTGGTCCTTATACATTTTTTCTTAATGGATTAATCTCAGGAATTAAAAAGACAATTTTTAATTTTACTGAAATTCATTGTTAAGGGACGAAATATACTCCTACCCTATATGCTCCTCCTAGAGGTATTCTCAGCTCAATTTCTTCCAAAGTTTGTCCCCAATTGTAATCTGTCAGATCAGCTCCGTTCCGTGAGTTCGGTTTCAATTTTCCCTTATCTTCATCCTCCTCCTCTTCATCCTTCTTTTTACTATCTCCGTTCTCTTTGGGTTTCTCGGCTTCAGGTTTAGCCTTTTTCAACTTTTCTTCCTCCTCAATTTTCTTAGCTTCATCTTCGGAAACTTCGCAAATTTTTGGTTCCTCACTTTGTTCCTTCTCTTCACGTTCTCTTCGTTCGCGCATTTTTCTATCAGCTTCCTCATTTCTGGCTTTCTTAGCTGCTGCTTCTTTGCGCGCTGACTCTCCATGTTTTCTATACTTCTCCATGACTAACTTCTCTGCCTTCTCCTCCATCCCACTAGTGTAGAAGTCGGTCTTTCTGGCGAGGAAACTAAAGATTACGTCCAACATCTCCTGAACCCCGCCTTCACACTCCTGGGCCATTCCCAGGAGAAGACCGTCAAACTTATCCGTAGGAGCAGACGGCATATTATCTGAAAATGAAAATTGTGTTGAAAATGAAATATTTGTACAGGATAAAAAAAAACTTAATTATTCCTCATCGGAAAAAACGACAAAAATACGAGGATATGATTTGCAAACAATAACAAGCCTTCACTAGGCAATCAATAATAGACAATGGATTTCTTCGTGAGATGATCAGATACATGTTGAGGTAAGACGGGATCTATGTTGCCCTGCTGGCCTGTCTTCTCAGCAGGATATAGATCTTCTCCTTGATCCACTCCTTGTTGTACGGAGCGTAGGTGTTGGTGGATTTCTGATAGACCAGGCAAGATAAATCAGCCAACTGAAAATAAAAGTTGGATTTTAATTCCTGAATACATTTTTAATGGGATTCATCTAAAGTTAACAAGTTAAATCAATACTAATGAAGTAAAACATACATTTATGTAAAAAAATAATGAATCAATAAAGAACTTAAGCAAATTAACTTTTCCAAGAGACTCTGTTGATAATAAAAATAAACCTGGTCGATGTTAGGTAAATAGAAACGTTAGATATATAGGGGAAAAAATATATAAACCCGGTCGATGGATTCGAGAAGTGGACATACATAGCAAGTAATGCTGGGCATATATCGGAATAAAAAATAAACCTGGTCGATGAACTCGAATAGCTGGGATATATCGTAAGCAATACTGTAAATATCGGAATAAAAAATAAACCTGGTCGATGAACTCGAATAGCTGAGATATATCGTAAGTAATGCTGGGAATATCGGAATAAAAAATAAACCTGGTCGATGAACTCGAATAGCTGGGATATATCGTAAGCAATACTGTAAATATCGGAATAAAAAATAAACCTGGTCGATGAACTCGAATAGCTGAGATATATCGTAAGTAATGCTGGGAATATCGGAATAAAAAATAAACCAGGTCGATGAACTCGAATAGCTGGGATATATCGTAAGCAATACTGGAAATATCGGAATAAAAAATAAACCTGGTCGATGAACTCGAATAGCTGAGATATATCGTAAGTAATGCTGGGAATATCGGAATGCTTCCTCTTGAGATGCTCTTCGTATATCTTGCAAACTCCCTACAAATAACACAATCATTGTTTAAAGAAATAATGATTGTATTCTTCTTCAATACAGAGGTCACCACAACAAATAAGTTCTTGATATCTTGAGAATTTTGAGAGAAAACTAGGTCAACCCACACTTGTTCGCCTAATACCTACTCTATACGCTATATTTCATTCATTTCAAATCTAGCTTCAAAGCTATGTGTTCTTATTTGGGAAATGATAAATTGGTGCAATTATAAATAACTCATTTTATTTTATGCGACCGGGAGATTATTCAATTTCCCCAAAACTTCAGATTAGACCAATTAGCTAATCTCCCGAATGAAAAAGTTTAACTCAATCTGCACATTTAAAAGTTTCTAACTAATTTATAACAATAATTACAATATCTGAAAGGAAATGCGAAATGGAACCCCAAGACGGCCCTAAGGATGAAGCGCATCTACATGCGGCCTGGAATCCATCCGGGTTAACACACTATTTAACGCCCGTGTATTTGCGTTAAATGGCTAGCAGCCGAAATGGCCAGTTGTGTATCCAGCTACTAACTATATATGGTTTATTTGATAATAATACTTTGCTAATAATAACCTCCATGCACTCGTTGACGGACTCGTAGTCTGTGTAGGTTCTAGACTCTGGCTTAGAGGCAGGTTGAACCAACAAGATTGTGTGCGACATTCTTTCTGAAAATACAACAAATCTAATTTATCCAAACTTAACAAAAATGCACGCTTGACGTGTGCAAAAGAAAATTTTATACTGTTATCTTAAAACAACTAAGAATGTGAAGCTAAGTTAAATACAACGTGTAACATGGGACTTATTTAATGCATTATTAACAGTAAGATCTTTACAATTATCGGTATAATCAATCGGCGATCTTTAAGTTTGGTACGGTAGCATGACAAAAAAAATGCTGAGCAAATGATAAATATTTAGATATTTAATTACATCGCTTTCACTAATTATTATTTTTTTTTGTCTCGATTCTTGATATTTTTCAGATTTTTCCCACTGAATGAAAAGTATGATGGTTCAAGTGCTGGGCTACGTCCTAGTTCTCCTAGTTCACTTGCTAGCCTGAGTGGAGATAATTGAACCTCCTGGTTCACTTAGAAGCCTGAGTCCGGAGAAGGATTAATCTCCTGGTTCACTTAGAAGCATGAGTCCAGAGAAGGATTAATCTCCTGGTTCACTTAGAAGATTGAGTCCGGAGAAGGATTAATCTTCTGGTTCAATTACTAGCATGAGTCCGAAGGATGAATCTCCTAGTTCACTTGCTAGCCTGAGTCCGGAGAAGCATGAATATTTTCTCTTTTATCCACTCCTTGTTGTAGGGGATATAGGTGTTGGTTGATTTCTCGTAGACCAGACAGGACAGGTCGGCTAACTAAAACAATATTTTCTTTAAAATAAAATGTGAACAACATTTTATCTCCTCTTAAAGATAAAATAAATCCAAAAAAGTGAAAAGTCGAAACTTGATGGAAGATTTACTTATAATTTACTACGATTTGTAAAGGAAAATGTAAATGCTAAAAACAGAATAAATATACAGAAGAGAAGTTTCTTTAAGCTTTTTAAAAAACTCATTATTTAACAAAAATCAATTTTCTCGAAAAATCATGAATGAATTTTGATCGTCAATTAAAACACGAAGAACCTAATTATTATTTAGAATGCAGAAAATAAGTTAAACTAACTTCATTTTCACGAGATTTTTGCAAATTTTCATGCAAAATTTGCTAAAATGAGTCAAAAAAGGTGTATTTCCAGGCTAAAAATCCGTCAAATTTAACTAAAAATCCGTACAATCCGTACATTTTGGGCACACTACATGATTTATGAGGGAGAAACATTATGTTCGGAGCGGTGGAGATGATTTTTCAAGAAAATATATTCCCCAGACTAGCATGACATTCTAAGAAAGTGATTGCTAAGGATCCTTTAAACCCTACAAAATTTAGGCAATTAAAATGAGCTTACCTCGTCTACAAATGAGAATAGTTGAGATATATCGTATGTGATGCTGGGAATATTTGGATTATTTCTCTTCAAGTGCTCCTCGTATATCTTGCAAACACCCTACAATACCATTTATCAAAACTTTAATAGGAATATGTAACAAGATTGAAAGAAAAGATAGATAATACCAGGACAAGAATAATTAATCGATTGCGTTTGAAAATTTCTTGATATTTTTATGGATTTTAAAAATGAAAATCAAATTTGAGCAAACCTCCAGACATTCACTGATCGTCTCGAAGTCTGTGTACGTCCTCGTGTCCAGCTTGACCCCCGGCTGCACCAACAGGATTGTGTGGGACATCCTTGATCTAGATATATTAACAGCTACATGTACATGTATATAATTAACCTAGTTGTACAACATGACACATTAATTTAACTTCTCTCCGCTGTACAATTGCATGCACAATGTACATCAATTCATGAACCTGATGGGTATCAGTACATTATTATGTACTGTACCGCAATTGCTCAACTTGATGTACATCAGTACATTTGAAGAAAATAAATTTTACAAAATACAATATTAATTTAACAAGTTGTCTTAATATTTTGTTTTAAAAGCTTTAGACAACTTGTCGAGATTACGAACATATTATAACAACAAAAAGGATTTACATTTCAGCATGCCTACAAATTTATTTTCTTTTTGAAATTTTTTTTTAAAAAACGGGAGTTACTTTTTTTTACAAATAACGTGTTCACGTGTCATTAATCTTCAAAGAAGATAAAAGTATGTGCTCTATACTTTAAAATTTCAAACAGGTTTTTGTAAAGTATTAATAACGTTACATAAAAGGGTGCATGCTTGATTGCATCTCTGTGTGGATGCATAATCGCTGAAAAAATCAGATAAATTTTCTGCTTTAAATCAGGTACTTAAGTATTTAAGATTACAAAACAATCCCATTTCTCAAAAAAAACATAAATTATTAATTGCAAAAATTTTCGGCGAGCGTAAGATAAAGAACTAATCTGATCCGGGATCAGAGGCGGGGGCCGTGAGTGTGCACCCCATCTGTAGTAACAGTCGTCTACCGGTCTTCAACTTTTTCCGGGACCAAACCTTCTTTCCCTTCTTCTTCTTCACGGAGTTGTTGGTCGGACTGGGGTTAGTTTCATACTCAACATCCAACATTGCCTAAACATACAAATATTGACAGTTGTATCCCACATTTTATTTAGGTGGCGCACCAGATAATGTTACCAGATTCATTTCATTTTTTTTGCGGATTTGGATCCTGGATCCGGTGGCATGTTAAAAAGTGTCCGGGCGTGTGATATTGCCCGAGGTACAGTCTTAAACATCAAATTTCAAAATATTTAAATATATTCAATACATTCTTTTGATCATTACGACTAATTAATGTAATGTATTACAATAGATAGATGCAAAGATATACTTTTTTAATTCTTTGAAAAGAAGACGACATTCAAGACGAAATATCGTTTATTTAAATCTGTTCTAGTATTTCTACAATAAAAAACTATTTTAGATTCGTGTTTACGTTCACCAGGTGTTTATCAAGATGTTTCTCAATGCATCCATAATTTGATATTGTGAATATTGTGGGGAAAGTGTTTAATTACTAATCAAGCATTATCTCACGCCCGAACTCTTTTTAACGTCACATCAATGTAACAAATGAACCTGGTTTCCAATTAATCTAATATGTCAAGAAAACGTCAAGAAATATTCTCACTGTAAACAAGGAGAGCTCAAGAATAACTAATATCAATCAAGACTCTAAATTTCAGACTATTTTTAAAACCAGATTCCAAGGACAGAGCCAAGGTTGTATAATTAGGTTGCTTACTCTCGATGCGCTTCAATGTTCGGAGAATGTCCTCTACTTAGCATAGATAGATAGAATCCGCATATGACGTCACTGATTTTAGAGGAGAGAGTGACGTCATGTACGGATTCTATCTATCAATTATAATGAGACGACATATTCCGTACATTGTAGCGCATCGAGAGTGAGCAACCTTATTATACAACCTTGAACGGAGAAGAGTGGTGGGACATATTCTGGGAATGTAATAGTAAAGGGACTGTTACCTGTAAACTGTAGTCTCCAGGCCTAGGCAGAAGACGGACAACCTTTCCACCGATCTTCCGGTCTTTCGGTCTTTTCTTGAACTCCCGCTTAAACCTCAGCTTCTCGAAAGAGACAAGGTGACGGGAGTCCATGAGTCCGTTCTCTCTATACTTGATCATCTCCTTGATCCTCAGTTTCAGATCCTTCTCATAGCAGAGGTTCTCCACCAGAGACTTGAACTCCTGACTTGTGTTGAACTGGCAGAATGGTTTCAGAGCATCTGTTATCTCTTGTTTAGGATCAGCTGTTTTCTTCATTTTCAACATGCTCGCCATTTTCAGTGGAGATATCTTTACACCGAAGGGAATTAATGGGTTTTCCTTGAAGTATGTGGATACTAGCTGATAATCACGAGCAACTCGCTTTCTTCGTACCTCCTGTAATACGAGTTTATGAACAGACGTAAAAGAAATAGATTTACTTAAGAAATGAACTGTATTTATCTAAATATTTTACCTCTCTCAGTAATCTTTCATACATATCTACATGAGCCAGTTTGAGGGCGACATCAATATCTTCATCCTCGACGGATTTGACTCCGATTTGGGAAACCAACCCCTCGTTGCTCTTGTCGAAATCCTCGAAATCATCTCGATTCGGCATGTACCCCAGTATTAGCGCTTCCTGCAAGTGAAAACTTAATTGTTTTGGTTGTGGAAGTAAAAAAAAGGGATTAAAGTACATAAAAAAGACCTGAAGCGTAATTTCAAGTGACCTTTCATGCAAACAGTGCACGATTCCTAGATTCATAAGTATTTTAATCTGATAATATCTGTAAGGGTTTCTACAGTAGAAATGCGCAAACCACTTTGGTAGAGAATCAAGATTAAAAACTAATCAATTTAAAATATTAAAACCATGGATATCCAGCTCATCTTGATCATACAAAGCTTTTAATTATGATTGTGATTCGGGCATCGCCATCTTAGCAAGTGAGGTCACTTGAAATTACGCTTCCAGTTTTTGAGAGGAGGGGGGGATCTGACCTGGGGTGCAACATTGATCGGAGGAAGTTTTCCCGTCAGTGTGGGAGAAAGAGGACCTCTGTCAGAGTTCTGAGTGTGATCCGTTGCCATTCCTCTTAGTTCCTCCGACCAGGTGTGGGTTCCGATAGCTCCGTTGATATATCTCTTGATATACCTCTCCTTGACCTGGAACTCATTTTTACTCTCGACATGTCGAGCAATATCCTTCCAGTTCCCGTAACCAAACATCTCAACAGCGTCCAGGAGAAGATGATCCTCCCGGACATTCCACTCATCCAGCTCAACCTCCTGCACCAGGCTTGCTCTAGATATTCACAACAATTGAAGAAAATCTTTCAAATGCTTAGGCTTCAGATCATGGATCCAATTTACCGGGATGGATTTAATCCTCAGCGAGTTTAAAATATTTTTTGGGAAAATGTATTTTACCCAACTTTCTTTTGAAAATGATTTCTTGCTCCGAGATGATTGGAATGTTTATAATAAAAATAAATAAAAGAACTTTTTGCCCAAATTCCTATTTTATTCCCCAAAGCATCGGAATACGAAAACAATATAAAAATACAATATTTTTTATAAATTAAACAAAGAGCTTGTTTTTACAGTTTATAAGACCCAAGAATTTGTTTACTACGAGTAATGAGATTCAAGAAAATATTAACTCCGGGCCAAAAAGGTGGATAGGGCAAAAGTACTTCAGGTGTAACTTGTAAGAGATTCAACAAAAAAGGTTTTCCTGCAGGTTTAATATGCGTTTGTCTGGAAAAAATTAATTTTCAATATTTCCAAAAGAAAATCCCATTTAATCCATATCGTATTTAAAGTAAGAAAATGAAGATCTGATTAAATTAATGTTTAACAGACTTTTTAAAAATATTTACCTTCGTCTGACTTTATCCTCGTTACAGGGAGATTTCGGGAATATTGAAAAGTTTCCATTATTGGAGAAATAATATTTATGATTATTCTTGTGTGAACCTAGCAATAAATGAATTAAATAATAAAGACAATAGATTTTGAAAACAACAATTATAGAATAGAACGTCGAACAAAGGTACGCCACTAAAACAGATTTCGTTGATAAATCACATCGTGCGCAACACTTTGGTCCTTATTACGAGAATTTAATTTTAATTTATTTAATATTTAATTCATTCCTATCTCAGCTCCACAAGCAAAACAGTCCGGACAGAGATCAAAGTCTGCACAAACTGCACAACTCACTCTTAAGCCGTTCAACTCGTCCTGAAAACAATTTATATAAAAAATTAGGTCCGTCCTAGTATACGATTTTTAGACCCCCCCCCTCCCCCTCCTATCAATTTTGTACATTTTTGTTAATATTTTTGGGTTAGGTTAAGTTAAGACAATTTCTGGACCAGGCGCTGCGTCAAGGATAGGCTAGGGGGCCGAGCGCCGCTGCTAGGAAAGGCTAGGAGGCCAGGCGCTACGGCCACATGATTAATAATACAAGATGTACAAAATTGATAGGAGGAGGGTGGAGGGGATGTGATCCAAAAATCGTTCTCTAGGAAATTGCCAAAAAACCTGTTTGAAAATTGGATTGTTGCATAACTGTTAATAGGCCATTTCCTATAGGACGCTTTTCGGACACCACCACCCCCCACATCAATTCTGTAAATAGAACTCATATGTTACACATGTTGAAAGTTGGACATGTGGCCGCCTCGGCCCCCTAGCATGTGCAAGCCGCGGCGTTCGGCCCCATGGCATATCCTAGCCACAGAACTTGGCCCAGAAATTGTCTAAGCCTATACCTTGAAAAATAAATCATTAATTTACTTTAAAGTATTGGTTGTAAGTATTTCTGGGGCGAGGGGGGTGGGGTCAAAAAACGTTTTCTATGATAGATTGTGATTTCTTTGAAAATCAGCTGGGCGAGCTCCATTTAATCGAGAAGAGGGGTGGAGTGGGGGGATCAATCATTGGAATTACTAGACTTCCATTAACAGCTGCAATCGTGAGAATATAAAGAGTTGAAAATTAAAAACATAATTACCTGACAGTAGTTGCAGTAGAACTTTGTAAATATCTCCGTTATCCCAGGATTATCAACTTTAGACTTCCCAGGAGCCATGTTACATCTAGAAGAATAAAAACATTATAATTCTAAGGATTAAAGAAAACTTCTTTTGCCAAAAACTTAAAAATTAAGTTAAACAACGGACAAAACACGAAAAAAACTGGCGAATAATAATCAGAATAATATTTAAAATTTAGAGAACGTTATGCCAGAGAAATGAAATCTAAACTTGTGTGTGTTTGATAATTTTAATTCCATTTAGAGGGGTGGAATGCAACTAACCGGGTGGATTGTGTAGAAAACAAGATAAAACCGGTTTGGAATTGCTGCAAGTTTCAGAATTTAATAATAATCCTTGTCTGCTAAAAATAAACTTTTGCTACACATTGTTATATTTTGCAATTATTTGAGGATCTTTAAGAAAAAGGTAACTTGAAACTATGTTAGAGAAGTTTAAAGGTCAACATTTAATAGTTATGACATAAAACTTTATTAATTTAAGATTTAAAATGTTTTAAATGTGATGTTAAATCTTAATAAGTATAAGAAATATCTCCAATTTTCTTTCCACTTTTAAGATCTGAAGGCTTTACAAAATGGGTCGGAAAACACAGAAGAAAACCAAAACAAAACCTGGAATGTCCATGGAAGCATTTGAATCTGAGTTCTCGGATCTCTTTAAAACACTTCCGCCCATCAAGAGAGCAGAACTAACCAAGGTATTTTTCAAGCTAAATTCTAAATATCTTCGTTCAGTCCCGCAATTTATTGAATACTTAACCATGGCTTGGCTTTCCTTGTTAAATTTAATAATTCTCATATTTGATTCATCTAACTGAGCAATAAGCTCATATTTTGTGAATTTCAGGACGTGGCAGAAAAATTAAAATCCGAAATCAAGCATTTTGGTAATCAAAATCTTATACTTGGACTGAACCAATGTGTCTGTCCCAGGGAACGATTTTTTGACCCACCCCAACCAATCAATTTTGTACATGACCACTTCTTTTTCAGCACAATTATTATTATTTATTTTTTATTATTGTTGGGTTAGGTTTGGCTAGGGGACCGAGCGCCGCGGCTAGGACAGTCTAGG